CCCTGTCTTTGGGCTCTGTGTGTCTCCAACCTTGATGTGCATGCAAAACACCTGGGAATCTTGTTTAAGTGTTGATTTTGATTCTAAGGTCTAGAGTGGCATCTGAGATCTTGCATTTGTAAAAGCTCCCAAATGATGCCGCTGGTGCTGGTCCAAGGACCACACTTGTGGGAGGGGTTAGCCTTCAGCTGAACTTCCCACTGGGAAAATATATAACTAGGAGTGCATATCTACACTTGTTTCCATGAATAGTTGGTGACTGCTTCCAAGCTTTAAGCCCCCTTGTTCCACAGCAGGGAATTAAGCAAATATTTGCTTAATTTGTGCCAAAGTCTTTAAAAATGTTCAATTCAAATACCACATTTAGAAACTTTGATAATGAGAAGAAACTGTGCAGAAGGTCCATTTTTTAGACAATGGAGCCTGGCCTGTGAGATGGATGCCCAGCCTCCTTGTCAGTGGAAGGAGAAGCTGATTTCTGTATTTTTGGTACAGCACCTAAAGCAGTGGTTCTCAAACTATTGTGCACATTAGAATCAACTGATTAAAAATGCAGATCTGTGGGCTTTATCCCAACCTACTGAATCCAATTCCTTTCAGTAAGGCCTAATGATATCCAAATTTTAAAGCTCTCCCCACACTTTGCCACTCAGCTTGTCTAGACTTTCACTTCAGAAATGGCAGCCTCCAGAATAACGGACTTTGTATGGAAGGTAGCAGGTTGACTCTGAGTTCTGCCTCTCCTACTCCCTTCTCACTGGATCTTGAGGCTTCCCATTTAGTCCTGTGCTTTGTCTTTAGCAAAGCTCCTCCCGCCCCTTTTCTAACTGCCACATAGGTACAGTGGGACAATGTGGGAGTGGGCAGAATAACAGGAAGTCTGTTTGGAATAAATAAACCAACCCTGATCCAAGCTTGTACCAAATCCAGTTTGAACAGTAACAGCATTTTCTAGTGGAGAGATAGTCAAGTTTCCCAGCTTTTGCATCTATTTTTCAGACATCTTAGGAGAAATCAGATGATCCTGGCCAATACTTTGTTCCAGTGTGTTTGTTACCACCCTGAGGAGTTCCAGATCATCACCAGTGGGACAGACAGAAAGGTAACTGCTCCCGTCAAGAGCTAAGCTCTGTCTGGTACAACAGAAAAGCAGTTAGGTGTTGTAGCTGAGGGTGCAGGCTGGGAAGTCAGGCCACTGCAGATGACAGCCTTGCTGTTTATCAGCTGTGCGTGCCACTTCGGAAATGCTCTGTAATCTTTTGGTGCCATTGCTTCCTCATCTGTAAAATGGAAATGGTGATGCCACCAACCTCACAGTTGCTGTGAGGATTAAAGTCATGATTGAATATAATGCCCATAGCAGGGTGCCTGCCCCTGGTAGGTACTCCATACATACTGGTTTTTACTATTAGGAAATTTCTGAGGTCAGAAAGGAATTGCTGTGTTCAAACCAGTTGTTGCTTTGACTAAATTCAAATCGAATGACAATAGAGCTCCTCTTTTCATTGATCTGCTTCACCAATGTATTAAAAATCTTTTAAGTTGGAGAGTCTGTGTCCTTGGGTGAAGATTGGTCCTTTTGGGGGGAACATTTCCCCTTGGAGCAAGTAAGAGGCAGAGAGGCACATGGAGGAGCAAGGGTGGTGGGGTGTCATGAACCCTGCCAGCCACATCAGATCAGCTTAATTATGGGCATATCCAATGAATGGATTTGGATTCTTCTAATTCAGATTTTGAGATGACTCTGAGATCACTAAAGAAGAGGTTGCATATTTATCTTTTCCTAAGCTATAGAAAATGTTGATGAGTTAAAAGTATAAAAATATAGTAGGGAAAATACTAATGGTGCCTCACCCACCTCTCACTACCCCAAAATTAGAATCTAGGAGTAAAGTTTTTTTCTGTTTAAACTTCCCAGGTGACTGGGGACTACTTTCCAGACACTATCACAAAAACTCAAGAAATGCTGCTTGGTCCAACCAGGACTTGCCTGACACAGACAGGATGCCCTGGAGGGAACTGATTTGCCTCAGTTCCAGTCTCTGTAGGCAGCCTTCTTGTGTCTCCTCGGCCCAGACTGGCTGGTGCCTGCCTGGCCCATGTTGACCTGTGGTCTAAGTGGGCTTTCCCTTGGAACTGGGGTTGAATAGCTATGAGCGAGTTAACCATCACGTTATCATAAATACTTTGATATATGGTTCATAAAGTTTCTAAATTAGTGTAGTATTTGCCATATTTTAGGTTTTGGCTTATGAGACTTGAACCAGCCTATTTCCTTTTTATTAGAATTTTTGCCAGAATGTTTAACCCATAAATCATAAGTCTGTAAAACTATTCTAAGTGTAGGGGACACAACAATGTCCCTGCTGTCATGGAACTTACTTATTCTATGCATTTGTTTTGGGTAGGAGGGCAGGGACTCGGACAGTACACATGCAAACAAATACATGGGTGAACAATGAGTGAACGGGCAAATGAGAAGCTATGAGATGGTGAGAGAGCTAAAAAGAAAATAGAACAGGTTCTGTGACATTGGCTGGGAAGAAGTAAGCCACTTAGCTAGCTGGTCATTGAGGGGGCCTCCCTTAAGGAGGTGACCTGGGAGCTGAGTGAGGCCGAAGTGACAGAAGGACCTAGCCATGCTTATGTCTCAGGGGAGACCATCCCAGGCAGAGGATATTCAGGAGAGCCTGAGGCCTGGTCAAGCGGCGCAGGAGAGGGTCATTTTGACTTCTTTGGCTGATAAAGCAGGTGGTCAAGCACAAATTACTTGTGTGCTTCCCACCCAAGAAACAAGGATTTGGGTGTGTTTTTAATAGTTCTTTCAGCTTTCACTATAAAAAATAGAACTTCATGTTAAAGCAATCAAGCATCAAATGAAATCATATATAAATCACATACATATAAATTACATATAAGTAATATACCTATAAATTATATATATATATATATATATAAATATATCTTACCCAATTTCTAGCTAGGTTCAGAGGAATACAGATTCCTGGCATGAAGACTGGGACACAGCAAGTTTCCATCCACATGAACAAAGACAGTGGTGAAATGCATGCCCAAGTTCACACTCCTGATTTCTGGTCAAATGCTTTTTGTTTAGAAAGAAATTTTAGTTTTGAAATGCTGTACATTTATGTTTCAAAGTTCAAAAAGTATAAAAGCAGCACATTCAGAGAAAAATCTCTCTTTGAGCTCAGTCTTTTCCTCCACTTCACCCCTAATCTAGTTTCCCTCCCCAGGAAGGGACAGACATTAACAGTTTGTCTTTAAAAGTCCACCCTGTGGCAAGCTGATTGCTTTGAGGCAGAAGAGAAAGTTGGGAATAGGGGTGGGGTGAGGAGGAGGGAGGGACAGCCACGGTGAGCGGTTGGCTGTGTGGGGCACAGTCTCCGGAAGTGTCTGGACTGCTCATTCCCCAGGCTGACGGGAGCAAGTGCCCCTCCTTCCACAAGCCCAGGAGCCTGGCTCTCCTGCTCTCAGAGCAGACGTGGGAAGGCCAATGCAGTGGCTGTTTCCTTTCTCTTTTACAACTGACTTCAGACTCAGTTTGCCTGGTCTGATCAAAAGCACTTCTGTCGCAATCCAGGTTCACAAGCACATCCACTTTTCTTTAAATAGAAGGCAAATTTAAAAACCAATACTAAAAATATTAAAATGGCTTCTCCACCCCTGCTTTAGCCTATTTATAATTTCAGCCGACATATCATCCCGTGATGTATTTTTGCCACCTTCTATATAAAGTAGAACCATCTTTTGTTAGCATGTGAGTGGATGATTCCACTGAGCTGAGTCCTGCCTAATGCTTCTCTCTGGAATTCCAGATTGCTTACTGGGAAGTATTTGATGGGTCAGTAATCAGAGAGTTGGAAGGTTCCCTGTCGGGGTCAATCAATGGTATGGATATCACACTGGAAGGAGTGCACTTTGTCACAGGTTAGTACTGGGGTCAGAAAAAAAAGCCAAACCCGACTTAGGTAAATAGGGACATGGAACTCTCAGGCAGGAGGTCATTGGAAGTGACCACAAAAGGGTCTAGAGGGCACATGGTTTGAGTCAGGCCTGAGCACTGCAGCCAGTGTGGTTGGAAAAGAAAAATGTAGAAGTCACATGTCAGTGAGAGGAAATGTTTGCCCAGCAGCCTGAGGGGCACAAGCAAAAGCTAAGCCTCACATTACTGGCATTTTGGGGGAGGGGTGGGATTGGTTCCAGGGCCTGGGCTGTCCGCTGTGCCTTGTTCTGTTATTTCCTGCTGAAGTCTTAAATGCCAGGCTTTTACATCAGTATTTCCTGGGGGCATTTACTATACAACCTGCCTGTTGGAACAACATCCATATCATTTCCCTGCCAGGCCCTTAGGTTCTTTGGGACATTAACAATGAAATGCTCTAAATGACTTAAGTTTCAAAAACACGTTTACTGAAAATAAGATATGAAAGCACACAGTGTGACCTCGGTCACATACACAGACATATATATGGACCGTGCACGTCCAGAGAAAAGACTGGGAGGAACTAAACTGAGATGTTATCCATGGTTCTTTCTGGGTGGTGGGATCAAGGACGATGCCAACTCTTTGTATTTTCCCCTCAAATTTACTACGACAGACCTACACTTTATAATCAAGGAAAAACTTGTCTTGTTTTTATAAAGACAAGTTTATCTTCCTTTCAATTGGCCCCAGGGAATGTGTTGAAAATAACTCAGTTATTTGAAATCAAAGCTATTTCTCTGTATTCTGTTATAGCAATGCCATATAAATGTCTTTTCTCAGGTGGACATGACCATATGGTCAAAGTCTGGGATTATAACGAAGGCGAAGTGACTCACGTTGGGGTTGGACACAGTGGCAACATCAAGCGCATTCGGATCAGCCCAGGAAATCAGTACATCGTCAGTGTAAGTGCCGACGGAGCCATTCTGAGGTGGAAGTACCCATTTGCCTCGTGAAGTAGCGGAGATTCACAGCACCACACACAGTTGTGTCAAACGTTGCTGCTTAGATAACTCTAAGACTGCTTTGGATGTTTTTTGTTTTTGTCCTTTAGTCAAAATATTTTGTCTGTAAGTTTCTCCATTCCTTTGTAGAATGTATTTGACATTCTTAAACTGTATATTAAAACTGAAATATGCTCAAGAATAATTGGTCCTAGTTGTAATTACAAGTCTTTTTATTATGAATAAACAACCAGTTATTGGTTTCCTGTCACAAACTCTTTTCTAGGACTCTGCAAACGCCACAGCCCCTCCTCATGATACATCCATGGACGACTTTGCTGATATTCTCTGAAAATAAGGCAGGCGAGCTCCCCTTCTTAATTAGCATTTCACTGGTCAACCTGTATGGGGCAAGATGTGGGTCTGAATTTGATATTGGGTAGCTTTTTATTTTTATTTTTTATTTATTGATTTTAAAGAGAGAGGAAGGGAGAGAGAGAAACACCAATTTGCTGTTCCACTTATTGACACATTCATTACACATTCATGTACACATTCAGGGCCTTCATGTGCCCTGATCTGGGATCAAACCAGCAAACCTGGCATATGAGGAGGGCACTCCAAACAACTGAACTACCTGGCCAGGGATAGTTTAATTTTTTTTTTATTCTCTGAGCCACTGTTTTATCTGTTGTAACACAAGAATAAATTCCTGCTCAGAAGGTTGCTATAAGAATTAAGTGAAATAGCCTTGGCTGGTGTGGCTCAGTGAATTGAGTGCCAGCCTGTGAACCAAAGTACCAGGGGTTCAATTCCCAGTCAGGGTACATGCCTGGGTTGCAGGCTAGGTCCCATAGAGGGCGCACTAGAGGCAACCACACATTGCTGTTTCTCTCCATTTCTCTCTCTCTGAAAATAAATAAATAAAATCCTGAAAAAAAGAATTAAGTGAAATAATGTATTAAAGCATCAGCGGAATTCCTGACACATAGAGAGTTCAACATGAATCACAGTGCTTTCTCTAATGTGTGTCATTGAGGACCCTGGGGTGAATATCAAGGATGAAATTTCATGGGTGCTGTTTTTGGCCATAAAATCTTTCTCCTGTGCTTGCCATCAGAAGGGCAAGGGAATGGACATCGTATATTGATCATCCGGAGGGGATTCTTCTCCAGAGAGGGTGAACAGTGATCTTTTCAGGAAACACCAAGGCCCCATGCAAGTACAGACTTTCGTTCTAAGCATATTTTTTAACTAAAGCTCCTTTTACTTTATTTTATTTTAATTTTTTTGCATCTGGCAACTTCCTGTAGCCCTATTTGATACATCAAGGCGGATATTTAATAAATGGGATCCCTTATTTGTCAAATACTTTTAATAGTAACATTTCAGGGCCTTGGCGCACTGCTGATCTCTTTTTGAGCTAGAAATCTATGCGAAATTCATTTTTCGAGACTTTGCCTGATTAATTATAAACCTGACAGTTACAGGATAAAGTGAGCAGAGTCCCGTAGTTACCCAGGGATTCAGGGTCCTGGCAAGGCCAACTGGATTCTGATTGGGCAACAATTCACCAAGGATTTCTCGTTAAGGAATGAGCAGGTGACTGCGGGGGGGTGGGGGGGGTGGGGGGGGTGGGGGGCGCGTCTGAGATCCAGAAAACTTCCTGGTAAGCGAATACTGCATAGGGCTGAGACTGGAAAGAGCCAACCTGTGGGGCTGGCAGTCGAGTTCCGGTTTTTCTGCTTACGGGTTTGGTGGCCTCGGTTTGTTGCCTTAACCCCTCTGAGACAGTTTCTCCACCAGTTAAAGCAAGGATGATCAAGTCTCGCAAGTTTTTGTAAAATGATTCTAACTTACTCTATAGTTTAAAAAAGCAAACCATAACCATCTAGGTTATTTCACGTGGGGCAACACGCGGCTCCCAGTTCTAGTCCTAGGATGGCGGATCCGCGCAAAGGTTCTGCCTCGTTTACCCCGAAGACAGACTGGAAGGAGTGGCGCCACGTGTCTGCACAGACCTGAGCCTGCAGAGGAACCAGCGGCGCGCAAAAGCGCTCCTTTCCTTTCACACTTCCCAGTGCGCGCCTCCCTCCATGCCTGAGACGGCCCTCTGGAGAGTCTTCTTTTTCTTTCCCTTTTCTGTATATTGCCCTGGACGTAATTACAAGAAATTCAGAAATAGCCAGGACTTTGCAAATTTACTAGGCGCTTTAAATTTTATCACTCCAATCTTCTTTTCATAGCTTGAAGGCTGGGAGGGAAAAGGAGCGGAGGTTAAATTCAGGTCTGTAAGCTTATGAGAAGCAAAGGGAACGTGAACTCGGTGACTCCCACTGTTTTATTCCCAGTCCACGCTGCGGGGGCGGGAGTGATGGTGGCTGGCCCCGCGCTGCCCTGGGGCGGAACCTGCGGCGGGATTCCCGTGAGGGGAGGGGCGGCCCCGCCCCCGCCCCGGCCCCACACACCTGGTCTGCAGGTAGCTATCACCCGGGCTCCTGTTCGGGGTTGTAAAGGCCTGTTAGCGGCTGGTCCACTTGGGGTCCGGGGCTCTGTTCCGGGAGGCGCGCGGGTGGGAGGTATGGAGCCGAGCCCGGGGACCGGAGCAGAAGGTGGTCCGCCAGCGCCCCGGCTGCGCCGCCGCCGCTCCCTGCGCCGCCTGCTCAGCCGCTTCCTGCTGGCCCTGGGCAGCCGCTCCCGCCCGGAGGATTCGCCGTCCTGGCCCCGGCGCCAGCCGGAACACTGCGATGGCGACGGTGACGGGGACTTTGCCTGTGCCCCGGCCCCGGCTCCAGCCACTCCCGGAAGCCCAGGTGGGGAGCGCCCGCCGGGACTCCAGCCCCAGCTCCCCGTCGGCGATGGGGCAAGGCCCCCGGGCGTACAGGGCTTGAAGAACCACGGCAACACCTGTTTCATGAACGCCGTGGTGCAGTGTCTCAGCAACACCGACCTGCTGGCCGAGTTCCTGGCGCTTGGGCGCTACCGGGCGGCGCCCGGCCGCGCGGAGGTCACCGAGCACCTGGCGGCGCTAGTGCGCGCCCTCTGGACACGCGAATACACCCCACAACTTTCCGCAGAGTTCAAGGTAGGCAGCGCCCTGCGCCTACGGCCCTCGCTCTCGGAGGAAGCTCATTCTGGCCCTTTAGTTTCGCTTCTTGAGAAGTGTATGCTCCATCAGGAAAGGGTTTTCCTGGAACTTTCTTTAGACGGCAAACCTGTGCCTCTGCGCGTTGCCGCCCTGGTTTTGAGCCGATTTCTTATGTCATCAGTCGCATAAGTTTTTACTAGGAATTAATTTCTCCCAGGTATTTTGAGGGGTTGAATGGAAAGAGCTGGCAGATTTGAGTAGTGTGTTCGGTTTTTTGTTTTTTTGTTTTTACGTTCAGCAAACCTTTGGTGGAAGTATTGAAAGCCTGTGGACCAGGCAGCGTTCAGGGATAGTTTTCAGTCTGGAGGGGTGCTGGGTGGAGGATTCAGAATTTGAAGGCCAAGTTTTGGAGGAAGAAGGTGATGCTTGAGTTGAAATCTGAATGATGAGGACTCAGGAAAAATCCAGGTAGAGGGAGCAGCATAGGCCTGAAGAAGCTGAGAATTGGAGGCACGTTGGGAAATGTGTGGCTGGAGCCCAGGAGGATAGGCTGGCGCGTAAATTAGGTTGGTCAGAGCGTGTGAAGTCTTGGAGGTAATGGTAGGGAGTTTGGATTTTATTCTAAGCTCAATGGAAGCTGAGAACCTGTAGGTCTGGTGCTGAGTGCTCAGGAGAGGCAGTGGGTGTGCTGTATCAGAGATGGCATTCTTTTGTTTAGTGCAAATTAAATCCCCTAGCATACGTTAGCACGGCGTTGCTTCCATTGTCCCCAGAATCATGGTCTACTTACTCCGAATGCTGCAGGGTCATGAGGTTTTCTTTGGAAGTTGTGTGTTATCACTTCACCCGGGATGAAGGCGGAGCGTTTATTTGGGGTCCCAGTTGGATTCAAGAGTTCCTGATAATTGATGCGCATGGCTTGCTTCTTGCAACAAATAAACAAACTCCCCTCTCCCCACCCCCCGCCCCTCGCCAGCTCTGGGCAGAGAGTTGAAGCTCACCACAATAGACCAGTGATTGTTGTTCCTGGGGGAGGGGGGAACCTGTCAGTGTTCATTCCACAAGCATCACTGCTCTTGAGTTTCAGCTGAGAAAGCAATCCTTGCCACGTGACCCACCAGGATGCCAAACCCCAACTTCCTCTCTCCTGCTTCCACCAGTGAAGCCTTGTGCTGCAGGAATCAGTGGGTGGAATGGGCATCATTAATATCTCTTTTTGGCAACATTTGTTTTTTAAATAGAGGCAGTATTATATAGTGGTTAAAAGTAAGATCTCTGGAGTTTTGAGACCTTGAGCCAATTTCCAGATCTTGCTGTGCCTCAACTTTCCTCATCTGTGAAATAGGGCCATAATGGTACCTACCTTATTACAACATAGCCTTGGGGAGATTAAATGAGTTATATGTACAGCATTTAGCACAGCCCTAAGAAACTTTTTATTATTCTATCATTACACTTCCTCACCTGCAGAGACCAAGGAGGAAGGAAGGAAGGTAACCTTTGTGTAACCTTTTCTCAAGCCCCATGCGGGTCTCATCCAGTTACTGCAGGGATGGGTGATGTGGGAGTAGCTCGAAAAAAGCTTCCAAATTACTCATCACCCAGTGTCTCACCAGGATTTCCTCTCTCTTCTGCTCTGAAACCCGTAAGGCCTGGAAGCTCCCCTTGAGCCTTGGGGAATGGAAGGGTAATCAAGTTGTTAATGTCAGTGAGGGTGATGTGCTCTGGGTAGCCAGCCTTGGAGAGTGGAGGATTCCAGAAGCCACAATCTCACCTAGAGCTTTAGGTTTTCAACCTTGCTGATTGGAATCTAGGTGAGCTACTCTCACTTTACAGATAAAGAAATATTCATTCATCCAACAAGTATTTCACTGAGTGTCCAGACACTCTAATGGGCGTGTGGAATACACTGAGTGATGAGTATAAAACCTGACTCTGGGACTTCTCTCCGGGAACTTACAGAGAGATGGATGGTAATGAAATAATCACACAGGCATGTGATTAGAGTTGGTGGCAAGTGCTAGAAAATAATAACACGAGGAAGCTGTGGCAATTCTGGCAGGAGGCTGTGATTTGAGTAGGGGAGATGGAGTTGGGGGTTGGGGTGGGGAAGGCTTCCCAAAAGAGGTAACCATTGAATTGAGTTTTGTAGGAACAAGGGTCAACTAAGGACATGAAACTGAAAGTGCCAGTCAGTGAAGGGGGCGGGGCTGAGGAGCTAGGCGGAACAAATAAATGAATTAATGAAAGCCTGTGTGATTGGGGATGAGAGCCTGGAGAGTTGTTTGCGGACAAGCCACATAGGTTTCATAAGGGAGTTTGGTCATCAGGAGGGATCTGTAGCTTCTGACTGAGGGAGAGAGGAACTTGAGGGGGACCAGCATGGTGGTTCTAGTCACTTAACCCCCCACGTGCACATGGGACGGCTTGCCTGTTTTCTGTCCCGAGCTCGGGGTCACCCAGCCCCCATAGGCAGCAGAACCACTCTTTGTTTTAAGAGCAGATGAGTAAGTACATTTAAAATATCCTGTCTTGGTACTAGAGAGGGAGGGGAACATCAATGTGTGGCTGCCTCTCACGTGCCCTCAATGGGGACCTGGCCTGCAACCCAGGCATGTGCCCTGGTTGGGAATGGAAACTGGTGACCCTTTGGTTCCAGGCCTGTGCTCAATCTACTGAGCTACACCAACCATGGTCTCTAGCCACATTTCAATAGGCTTTGATAGGCTATGTTATTTTAAAAATTCTGGAAAACACCTGCCAGATACTGTTATAATTGGATAAAGACCAATAAAGAGCAAAGTTCACTGTAAAAAAATTGTAATATATAAATAAGAATGAAAAAATACCACCTGTGATCCCATCCTTGTATGATAACTATTTGTTAATATATTGCTTCATATTTTCTGGTCTTTTATCTATCTACAAATACAGGGTCTGGCACAAATAACATCCCCTTTTTATTACAAAATCAGGAGCATGTAATTCTGTACCATAGCAATATCACACTCAAGCACACCATATGACATTTTAGGTGAAATGGTAAAATTAAAACTATGAATTATTACACCATATTATTACCCTACCAACTGCACTCAAGCAGGCTACTTAATTCTGCTGGACCCTCTATATAAAACAATGTCAAATAGATATTTTTGTATTCTTTGGAAAGGACAGGACTGCTTATTTTCTTTCCTCATTAGTATTTCCTCATGCATCATTTTTAAGACCATCTAATGAGTGTGCCACGGGTTTTCTCCAAGTGAAAGTAAGAGATTTCTTTGTGTCTCTCATTTCTTACTCTAAGTCCTGCAAAGTAGAATTACACCTGACCCTTAAACAACCCTGGAGTTGGGGCATTGACCTCCCCACTCCTCTGTAGTCAAAAATCCAAGTATAACCTTTGACCCCCTGAAAAACTTAACTACGAATAGCCTACTGTTGACCAGAGCCTTACTGATAGCATAAACAGTTGGTTAACACATATTTTGTGTATCATATGTATTATTATATACTGTATTCTTTCAATAAAGTCAGCTGCAGAAAAGAAAATCACAAGGAAAAGACAACACATTTACAGTATTTATTGAAAAACGTTGCATGTAAGTGTACCCATGCACTTCCAGCCTGTGTTGTTCAAGGGTCAACTGCACTGTGTTTAAAAATGTAGAGGAACATTTTTAAAGCTCTGTCTTGTTGATCTTATTGAAGTTGTCAAATTCTTGCTGGAAAGAGTGTATGGCTTTATAGCTAGGCTAACAAGAAGAGAGTATCAGTCTTGGATTAGCGTAATTAGCAGGAAGGGAATGGATTTCAGCGAGGAAGAAGCAACCCTGTAGACTTTTGAAGTGGGGAAGTATGCTGGGGGCACCTGAGTGGCTCGTTTACCTGGAGCTCTGAAACGGGTGAGAGCTGTGAGAGACAAGGATGTGGCCAAACAGGAGGAGTTGGGACTAGGAGATGATGAGCAGAGAGAGTCAGGAGGGTCCCAAGTAGGGGCGCTGCTGCTCCAGCTTTAGGAAGATGGACTGTCCTGCCATGTGGCCAGTGGGTCAGCAGGGGGCCACTGTTGGGGCTGGGCTCCTTTGAAGGTAGCTCTTGTCATCTGGGTCGCAGTAGCTAGGACTCAACAGTGGAAATGGGACTTGGCAGAAGTAATTAGGGAGCCAGAATTCAGAGTGCTTGACAGCTGACTGATGTGGGTGTGAGAATCTGAAAGAGGACACAGACTTTAAGAGGAAGAGCTGACTGTAGAGATTTTGAATTGGGGGGGCTGGCTATCCCCCCAGGAGAGAGTGTTGGTACTAAGGATGTAGGTTTGAGGGTGGCTGAGGGGTAGGGTGGCCAGATAAAATACATGATGTCCAGTTAAACTTCGGATTTGAACTTCAGATAAAAATGACTTTTCAGTATAAACATATCCCAAATATTGCATGGACACAGTTATATTACAAACATTATTTATTGCTTATTCATTATTCATTTTATTTGCTAAATCTGGCAGTACTATAAAGTGCACAGAAATGGGAGGGAAGGATCCTAACCAGACCCTCCAGTGAACCAGACTAGGGTGACTGGAAAATAGACTCAGCACCAGCATTTCAATGAATCGGATCTTTTAATTTATTTTTGTTTATTTTTTCCATCACCATTTATCCCTGCTGTACCCTCTTATCCCTCCACCTGATCGCCTCCCCCGGCAGTCACCGCACTGTAGTCCGTGTCTCTCCTCCCCAAGCTGTCAGCCTCCTCTCCATCATGAGTCTGACTCTGTTTTGCTTGTTAGCTCAGTTTGTTCATTAGATTCCACATATGAGTGAAATCCTGTGGTACTTGTGTTTCTCCGACTGGCTTATTTCACCTAGCATGATGTTCTCCTGGTCTACCCACGCTGTCACAAAGTGTAAAATTAAATCTTGAATTTTACTTCATCTTATCCTAAAGTCTCCTTTAAATTCCAAGGAAAAATTAAAAGAAAGAAAAAGACTAAAGCCCAGCAGGGGAGGTGTGTCTGGGCCCACAGCCTCACTGAGATGGGCCCCCCCTTAGGCAGGCTTGCACAGAGAACAGACCAGGGTGCAGTGAGGTCTGAGGCCTGTCTCTGTAGTGGGGGGCGCACACAAACAGGAGGATTCACTTGCACTCAGGTGCTGGTGCTTGCACGTGCACTAAAACAGTCTAAAAACATACCCCTGGAAAGATGCTTAAGAAACTGCTAGGATGCTCTGGGGAGGGTTGTGCAGGGATTCCAGATGAGTAGAGAAAGACTTTTCATCACTGCCCTTTTTAAAAATATATAGTTTGCATTCTTTTTTCAAGTACATGCATCTATTTCCCCTTTGAAATAAACTTTTAAAAAGCTGGAATATGCATTTACATAGAAGATGACAAAGCTGTTACACCATTTAACAGAGGACGCAGGGAATCTGAGTGTCCTGAAGGCAAGGGGTCCTGCCTTATTCAGTTCCCAGTCAGGAGAATAGTGCCTGGCGCATGGTGGGCACTCGGTGATGGAGGTTGAACATGATCACCCATTTTGTGATCTAACCACAGAAAGGGAAGTTTGCATTTAGGTTTCAAACATGTTAGAAGAGGCAGTAAAGGGGCTGCATGCATGGTAGTTAAGGAAGTCCACTTCACCAGGCCAGGTGGTCATTCACAAGGAGAGAATGGAGCTAAGGGAGAGAATGGAGTCACTGAGGGAGAGGACAGGGCAAGAAGCTGTTCACCTGCGGGGTGAACACAGGGAGATGGCACAGAAACAGACTGACAGAGGGGGACCCGGGAACCTGTGCCCTGGCATCAAGGGAGGACCGATGGTCAACAGAGCCAAAATAGCCAAGAGACCACCCTGTAGGTTCTCAAAGGTCAGGGCACACATCAGTAGTCTTTCTGGAAAACAAGGTGCCTTCTCCCATAACCCTGGTAGCATCTGGGACACTGCCCCCTAAGGGTCCGACTTCTGCAGAAAAGGCCATTTCTTACTCCATCTTGTCTCCACGTTGTCCTCCCCAGGGAGGGCTGAAGAGGGACCGCTGGGAGACCTGGAGCTGATGGGTCCGTATTGGGTTGTTGGAAGGGCCCTGGTGACCCTCCGGTTTTCTTGTTTTCCCTTCAGAATGCGGTTTCCAAGTACGGCTCGCAGTTCCAAGGCAATTCCCAGCACGACGCCCTGGAGTTTCTGCTGTGGCTGCTGGATCGTGTGCACGAGGACTTGGAGGGCTCCTCCAGAGGGCCAGGGTCCGACAAGGTCAGTCCCTCTCGAAACAACCATTGTGTTTGATTTTCTCTCCTCCCCTTGAGTATTTAGTCAACTCCTCTAGCCTGAACCTTGGAACAGATTCTTCAATTGCTGTGTGTTCCGGCCCTGGCTCCTTTCTCATAGCTCCGTTTTGTAGATAGTGCCTTTTCTCCCACTGCAGTATTCTCATCCTCTCTTGCCCAAGTGATGCAGTGAATAAGGTTTCCCTTTGGCTCAAGGTGTGAAAACTCTCCTTTTTGTCAGTATTCTGTGTGTTAGTGTGTTCATCTGAAGCCATGGGTACCACGGCTTATTTTCAGATGGTATCATTTTAACTCTACCATTGTTTTCTCCGTGACGCATCCTACACAGCACTGACTCCAGTCTTGTTGTCTCAGACTCAGGGTGGATGATCTTTACATGCATTTCACATTCCCAGATGGTCAAAACTTTGGGAGTCAGAAAGCTCTACAGTCATTTGTTAATCAATACATCAGCTGTGTTCTCCATGGGCTTTGCTAATAAAGATCAATGATGGGTTCTGCTCTAATGCTGTTCTTCTATCTCTCACTTAAGAAAGTAAAAGCAAGTGAAGTTACTGTGCCACGAGTGAGCAGAGTTACAGCGATATCCATGAATACTCTGCTGTAATTGAGAAAATGGCGCACAAACCGTGGTCGTGAGTCAGTCACATGTTGTTTTCATGTGTCTCAAAGCTGATCCGGATGCAGCCACGAGAACTGATTTACCAGTGTTTTTGTTTTACATCTGGGCACTTTGTTCCCGTCCTGCTTATGAACCAAGTAAAAACCCCTTTGGAAGTCTTTTAGTCTTTCAGCCGTCACCTTCCTTGTCATTATTTGCTTGGAGCCCATCATTCCTGAGTCGCAAAGAATGACGGCAGTTGCGGTCGTGTGGGATGAATGAGCCCAGAGCTCGAACGTGCAGCATGATGACCGCCGTCAGCAACACGGGAAATTCGTGGAGAGAGTAGATTTCAGGGGCTCTTACCGCTCACAACAAAGGTAGCTTTGTGAGGAGATGGGTATGTTAGTTTAATGGGAGTAATCATTCCACTTTGTGTGTGTGTATCAGCTGTTCATGTTGTACACCTTAAAGATACACAGTTTTTTAAAAAATGAATGGATCCGGAAGCTGAGTCATTTTTAAAAACTTTTTCCCATAGCCAGCTATTATCTTTGTTTCTTTCTCTTTTAAAATAAGTTGCAACTTTAAGGAAAAGAAAACAGAATCATGTATGTCACAAATAAGAAAACATTCATTTTAAACAACAATATAATGTCATTAAAAGCTAAGAGGTTGACAGAAGTGCCACGCAGTCCTCATGCCCAAGACAGCAGGATGTCAGGTGCACAGAAGGAGGGAAGTGAGGCTTGCACAGTATGTGGCGTTCCTCAGATCATGTCTTGGAGTGTTATATACAGTATGAGTAACATCATTTATAGAGAGATGCTAGGGTAATTATCCTCATTTTAGTAAATATAATAATATATGTAATAATTTAATATGATATGTTAAATTATTATATATATAAGAATCAGAGAGGTAGGGTAACTTTCCCAAAGCAACAGAGCTAAAAATGGGACAGAATCAGGATTCCAGTCCAAAGGGGTGGGTCTAGCTTGAAAGCCTGTTTCCTTATTTGAAAAAGAACCACCCCAGTCACCCACAAAACACACAAATGAAACAGAGCAAGAACATCACCACAACAGAAGCTGGGAGGACCACACACTCAAAGTGTGCTTTCCCTGGGTGCAGGCTTGTGGGTGGTTTTTCTTTAATGTACACTGACTTTCTGTTTATCTTATTTAGACCCTTTTAGTTGCAAGTGACAGGAATTTCACTTGATTCAACTTAGGGAAAGGACATTTATTGACTTTTAGAACTTGCTACTCCAAGGTTCAGACCAGCTTCAGGTAAGGCTGGATCCAGGTACTCAGATGATGTTACCAGGTCTTTGGCTCTCTATCTCTTGTCTCTGGCTTCATCCCCAGACTGGCTCTGCCCACATGGTGTCAAAAGGGGCCCCTGAAATGCTCAAATGTTCTTTAGAGTTTGGGATTCCAGAAAAAGCCCAGGGAAGATATGATTGTCCCAGAGTGGTTCATATGTCCATCACAGGGCAGGTGGCCTACAGAATGGAATTTTCTGATTGGTCACACCTGAGTTGTATGCATGCCTGTGGGGTGTGGGGAGGGGGTGAACTCCACCCAAATCACATGGCTGAGGAGAGCTTTTTAAGGTTCAGGCTGGGTCGCTTCCCAAAGAAAGGAAGGTTGAGCAGATAAACATTGCATTCCACTACACTCTGCTTTTTATAATCTTAGAGTGAACACATTTTGAAATCAGAATGATATACTTTTTTTAAAAAAGATACTTTTTGAGTATTTATGTGCCATGCATCTAATGTGATGCTTTTCATGATTTATTTTACTGCTGACACACAGAAGACACTAAATAAGTTCCTGAATGGTTGAATAAATTGAGTAGTCGTGTTTTAATATTTGTAAGGATACCTCATTATTTCTTTTCTTTTACTATTATTATTTTTCCCACATGATTGACTCTTTTAAATCCCACATCAATAACTGATTTAAGCAGAGACTAAGTCATAAGGTTATCCAGGGGATGGCAGAGTCTGGATTCGAACCCAGACCAACTGGTTCCAGAGCTGCTGCTCCTCATGATGAGATCTCAGGACCATAAGGGCGGCCAGCCAGCCTGGACGGGTGCCTCGCACAGGGCCATGGAAAAGTGGCCCAGTCACAGAGACTAAGTAGTGCAGGGAGAGAGGAAGTCTGCTTGAGCTTGGCAAAACCAGAGGGAAAGTTAGAGATGAGAAGCCAGGCAAATTTGAGCAAGTTCTGCGTGCCCAGTTCTCTCAATGAAACCAGCTACCCATCTTGGTCTAGGAACAGCTGTGAGCTAATTCTTCTGTTTTACAGTTAACAGGAATTTAGGTTAAGTTTAGGTTGAGTGAGAAGTCACTCAACTTCTTGAGAGAAACAGAATTGAACCCGAGTCTGTCTTCCTCAGAGCCAGTATGCTGGGTCCCTTCCCTTACTGTGTCCGCTGCCTTCACAGTCCCTCCTTCCGCTGGCTGCGTGGGAAAGGCCCCTTGTCCTGTCCCCCTCCCCCTGCTCCCCAGCTCTGCCAGGCAGCTCCTCCTACTGGGGAAGTAGGAGGGATCAACCACTTCTAAATTGTCTTTCAATCTTCCTCCTTGTCCCTTGGAGTCAGGTAAAGGCAAGAGAAGAGAGATATTAAGTAACTTGCCCCAAGTCACACAGCAAGTAGGTGGGAGAGCCAGGGTCCAGTCTAGGAAATACAACTCTGGAACAGGGTTTCTTAACCTCAGCCCTTCTGATATTCGGGCCAGGCAGTTCCTTGTTGTGGAGGCTGTTCCTTGCTGTGCACGTTGGCATTCGTAGCATCCCTGTACCCAGCTGATGCCGGTGGCCCCCGGATTGTAACCGATAACCTAAAACGTCTCCAGACATTGCCAAATGTTCCCTGGGGGCAAAAGCACCCCCTCTTCCAATGGGAGTCTGTGCTTTCAACCAAACCTTTATCTGATATAACATTGAGTTTATTTAAGCCAAGAGGGCCCGCAAATAATTCTTTTTAACAACTTCACAACCCATGTAGAGGCAGCTATAATTCCAATTTGCAATATGCCCCACTATTATATGTTCTCATACTATAGCCATAGTGACCTTTTCAGACAGGAAATAAGATCACATCACTCTTCTGCTTAAACTCCTCCGATGGCTTCCTGTGGCGCTCAGAACAATAGCCAGTCTCCTATGTGGTCGACGGGCCCTACCTGCCTGGGCCTGCCAACCACTCAGCCTGATTTCAGGCCCTTCTGCCCCTCGCTCAGTGTGCTCGGCCATGCCGGCTACTACCTGTTCCTTTAATGGGCTGTGAATGTTCAGAGCACACCACGACCCGGCAAGAATGGGGAGGGGCGGGGGCTGTGGGCCAGGGAGAGGAGCTTGCCAAGTGCTTAATTTGACATGATTGAAACCAGAAAAGACCTTTTTCTCTGTCTGGGGTCAAAGCCTCTACTGAAATCTGCTGTCAGAAAATTGGGCCACCTGTGGAGGCCTGACTGCTGGTGCTCGAAGGAATGGAACAGAGCTGTTAGGGTAATTTGGCAAAAAACTTCATTTCCCCTTTCCAAGAAGGAAAGGGACTATCCTCTGCATAACTCTGAGCAGTTTTTGAGGTTATTTCTGTTTCAAAACATATAAAAGCCATAAAGCTAGATTTATTGAAACTGGAATAGCAAACATAAGGACCACTTTCTTCTGCATAACTGTAATGATTCTCAAATATTTTCATCCGGCAGAAGGGGCAGCTTTTTACATTCCTATAGACACATAAGCAGTCCTTTTTCGGGACTCTTACAGAATTAAGAAAGGAATGAGGATGGGGAGAGGAGCAGGAAGCTAACATTTATTAAGCACCTACTATGTACTACAGAGGATACACACCTCATCTCCTCTGGTTCTAACGATGGCTCCCTGAGGTGGATGTGATGCTCCTATTTTTTCAGATGTGGAATGAGAGACGTTCCAGCTCACTTGGCTGGCAGAGCAGAGCCAGCCTGCTCTGACCTCATCCACAGTGTGTGTTATGTGAATGGCCCTCTGCTGCCACTCACCACAGCCTAGGTCAGGACTTCCCCTTTCCATCCCCCATCCCCGGGGACCCTGTCCACTGCTGTGCCCAGCATGCTATGTTATCACCTGATGCCAAAGCAGCCTGTATCATTGTGAGGTCTTCAGCTGACTCAGACCAGAAGGGAACTCAGGAGGAGGCCAAGGGGCAGCCTGCAGGATCAAATGGAAGGCTGAAGAACCAGGCTTGGAACCTGTGAGAAGCAGACAGCTCTGGGGTGGGGCTGTCTCAGTGGCAGGAACTGTTCTGGCCTGGATTCTGCTAGAATCACTGCTTTCAGCCTTGCTCACTCTGCTTTTGCTTCCCATGCAAGGCAGGGTCATGTCAGCAGTCTAGCTGAGGGAGTGTGTCCATCCTTGGGGAAGGGAGAGCAGGACCCCTGATTAAAGAGCCTTCCCCACCTCCCCATTGACTCAATTCAATGTTCCAAAAGGGGCGCCACTACCAAGAAGAAGAGTGAATCCTGGGCAGCCAAAAATACCAGTGTCCTCTCTATATCTCTGGGCCCTTTGTTGATTTGCTGGTAGATGGCTCTGCCCGAAGGTGGATCACCTCCAATTTGGCATGCCCATCTCTGACCCACTTCTTTGGACTCTCTGTTCATGGAACAGGCATTCTCCAGGCACCACGTTGGAAGCTTGAGTTGGTCCCGTTTGCCTGCTCCCTCCTCAGGTGGTCTGTTATGAGCTGCATATACACTGTGTCTGAGTCTGTGCCCCCTTCCCCTTTTTACAGCTCCCTCTCTAGTTCAACCTCTTGTGACCCGGACCCTTGAGTCTCCTTGTATGTGTCCTAACTCTGGACTTACCCTCCTTCATCCTGGGCACCGTCTGTCAAGTTAAAACATCTCTCCATGCATGCAGCTTCCTCTGGGTTCAAAACCCATTGGGTACTTCCTATTTTGTAATAGCAACAACAACAAATACTTAAACAACATATATTAACTCTTTTAATCTCAAAACACTTCTATCAGATAGGTATTGGCATTCATTATCCCTTTATTACAGTAAGGAAACCTTGGAGCAAAGAGATGAGATAAATTATTTGGACCAGAGGCTGAGTAACCCTACCAGCTAAGTGCTATGCAGGGATTTGAACCCAGACAGTCTGACTCCAGAGTCTAATTTTTAACTCTGGTACTGTGCCCGTTACCGAACAAGATGATCTTCTTTAGGACATTGAAGGCCCCACCCTGCGTGGCTCCAGACTCCGTCTCCAGTCAAATTTTCTGCTTCGCCTTGCATATCCTATATTCTGGTCAAGTTGGGCTTAAGAAAATAGTGGGACAACTAAGAGTGACCATTCTGAGTATTTGTCACCCTTAGTTGTCCCAGTATTTTATCATGGAAAATTCTAAACATATGGACAAGTCGAGTTAATTATACAGTGAACACCTCATACCCACCACCTAGATTCTATAATTTGTATTTTACTAAAACTACTTTACCACATATTTATGTATCTATTCATCCTTGAATCCACTTATCACTCCCCTTTGTTTTCCACATCTTATATATTTTGATGCATTTTAAATGAAATTTCAGACATTGCTGGACTTCACCCCAAAGCCTTCACCTATGTTCTCTTCTCCTGGCTTTTTGAAGATGCGGGTCTTGGAGACCACAGCGATGTGGCCACAAGCCACTGCATCCCTGTAGCCAGCAGAAGCTGGGAGAGGCAAGGAAGGTCTGCAGGCCGTGTGGCCTTGCCAACACCCGGTCTGGGGCTAGTGATGCTGATTTTGGATTTTTGGCCTTGAGATCTGTGAGAGAATAAATTTCTGTTGTTTGTGTGGTGATTTGCTACAGCAACAGCAGGAAACTTAAACAGAAGGGAATGTGAGGGAGGATACAATAGAGTTGGTATGTGAAAGAAGGAGGCTTATTCATTAATCTGAGGTGTAAGGTGGTTTGTCTGAGAAAGATGGTCATGTGAAGGCTGGCTCACCAGAAACTGAGGGCAGCTCTGGTTAGTAGGTGGAAACTTTGGTGTGGGCGTGTTTGAAGTCACGGCAGCTCACCCTCGTGAAATGTACTAGAGGCATCTAGACACACGAGGGCCTGCAGCATGGAGGTAAAGGACAGGGTAGTAAATTCAGAGGTAGTAGGTGAGGCTGGGTGAGTATGTGTGAGTGTTGGCCAAGGTTGATGCTTCAGGCAGCTCTTACAATTCATTCTTTCACAGGGAGTTTGTGAGGTCAAGAGATGGAAGGAGCAAGGAATTATGGCAGGGGTGTCAAACTCATTTTCACCAGGGACCACATCTGCCTCAGAGTTGCCTTCAAAGGGCTGAATGTAATTTTAGGACTGTGTAAATGTAACTACTCCTTAACTGTTAAGTGAGAGCTCGGCACTGCCACCAGGTAGAAACAAGGTGCCTGGCCGGATAAGACAAGGTGGAGGACTGGATTCGGCCTGTGGGCCTTATGTTTGCCACCTGTGAATGATGGTGAAGGCGACACTGAAGGCCCAGGTTCTGCGGAGTCCAAGTGCAGAGGCGGGTGCTGTGTCCCAGGAGGAGGCTGAGGCTTGGTCCGGAAGCAATGGAGAGATGGGAGGGTATTAATGTGCTTCCTTTCCTCATTTCTTTGCAGCTGCAGCCCGAAGCCAGTCAAACCTCGGAGAACCACCTGTCACCATCGGGTCAGCTTTCTCTAGGTCAGAGCTTTGTGCAAAGCCACTTCCAAGCCCAATATAGGTAAGAATGGGCTACATTTAGAGTCACCCAAGAGTTCAGCAGACTTACATATGCTGGACACCAGTCTCCTATGATCAGGTTTACCTGATATCACAAAACCACAAGCACCTTTCTCTCTCCCATCAGAAATCCACAGTAAATGCTCTCTCCTGTGGCTCCTGACCTTTAGGATTTCTTCTTTTCCTTCTTGCTGGCTTCTGGGCCTCCCCTCTCCCCTTGAAGGAGGGGTGATACCTGGGTGGTTCTGTGGACAGTGAACATGGGGGCCAGGATGTCCCCAGCAGGAGCCTTTGGGTGAGACCCTTCCTATCTCTCTATGGCCAGAGAGCCTGGTTTAATCAGTTATTATGAGTTCAAAATTTCCCTTCATCCTAGAGGATATTAAAAATATAGATCATTACATAGCCTTCAACTTCAAAAAGGTTATTTTTGGGCTTAATATATGAGAGTTTAAAGATTCATACAAGGCAGAATATTTTCAAGTATTGCAATGTTTTTTTTATAAATATGAAGTCATATTTTACTCCATATCAAACTTTTAGAAGCAATTTACTAACTTTTTAAATATTTCAACTACACCTGACATTCCATATTATTTTATAATAGTTCAGGTATACAGTATAGTGGTTAGACATTTAAATAGTTTATGAAGTGATAGCCCCCTAATGAGTCCAGTACCCACCTGGCCCCATGCATAGTTATTACAATATTATTGACCATATTCCCTATGCTGTACCTTATATCTCTATGACTATTTTGTAACTAACAATCAGTACATCTTAATCCCTTCACCTTTTTCACCCAACCCCCTCCTCTCTGACACCTATCAGTTTGTTCTATGAGTCTGTTCCTGCTTTATCTACTTTTTTGTTTTTTAGATTCCACATTAAATGAAATCATATATTTGTCTCTCTCTGTCTTATGTCACTTAATGTAAGGTATTCAGTATTTTAATGAAAGCATTAGTTGCAGTGAGAGGTCAGAGAGGGGAGAAACCCTTGTGGGCTTCTCAGAGGGGGTGTGCCTTTTGATGAGCTCTGGAGGATGAATAGGATCAAAGGGGTGGGAACATCCTCAACAAGAATAAAATATGCTTAGAGGTGGGGATGAGCACAATGATCAGGGTCTAGGGGAACCCATTGTTACAGAGAACTCCTCTAGGTGATATGCTCTCCCATATATGTTTAAATTTATTCCTTATAAGAGCCTCAGGAAATGAGTTACAATCTAGGAGGCTGGGCTTTTTGTGATCACACATGGTAAGTGGCAGAACCAGGGTGTGACTTTTGATAGCTCTCTGAAGCACAAGTCCTGCTTGCCTTCTTTGTAATTCTTCCTCTCCGGTTGCTTTTCCATCTCACCTTGCTTGCAGTGATGTTCCGCTGCTACTGTGGTTGCGTGGACCCTCTGCCCTCTGGTTCTCTGTTTATGGATACCAAACTGTTTTAAAAATATCCCTCTTCTGGATGTTGCATTAAATCATTCTCAAAGGCGTGCTTTTCCCTGAGTCTTCTAGATACTCTCCTTTTTCTCTGCTGTGTTTTTCTTAGGCCTCCTGTTACTTTTTTCTCTTTACTTTAAACCAGTGGACAATTATTCAGTATTCTAGCATCACTTACTTATAGTCATTTGCTTCCAGACTTTTGGGGCACTTGTATTCCTTGTGTTTAGGAAGGAAGAGATGACTTAAAATTGCCCAGAAACTCTCTTGATTCAGCATTTACATTCAGTAATTGCTAGTCAAGGGTACTGGACCTGAGCACTGTCTATGAGAGGATGTTTATTTAGGAGGTCTGGAGGGTCTCTGAAATACTTTGAAAAGATGCCTGATTGGCTTTTCATGAAGTGGAAATCTACAGCCCTGGGGTTCTGATGGTCCCAACCCACTTCCCACCCCCCTACCGAGGTGGGGGGGGACCATGGAGCCCTCCTCTTTTGCTCTTGGTTGCTGAGCATATTAGGTAATTAAAATCTCTTCTAAATGAGCCCAGATTTCACTGTTGCCCGTGAACAGAGGCCCACATTTCCTGAGAGCTGTGGGGCTGCACTGCAAGGTACACATAAAGAAAACCTAGATTTCGTGGCTACTGACCTTTTGAGCCTTGAAAGCTACCTGTAGAGCATCGGTCTTATGTTCAGCTGCCCAGATTGCAGGCTACCTGAAGCAAAAATGAGGGAAAAAGGAAAAGAAGACCATACAGAGGAGGGAAAAGGAAGTGTAAGGCTTGGGCATATTAGAGCGTGGGGAAGGGGCACCAGTAGCTGCACACAGTACCACTCACTGGTGACCCGGTACAATAAAGTCACTCATTTCTCTGCTCACTCAGTTCTCTCTATTCTCTTCCCCTTTTGTCTACACATGCTCTTTTTTTTTTTCATCCTCGCCCAAGGATATGTTTATTGATTTTAGAGAGAGATGGAAAGGGAGAGAGAGAAACATGGATCAGTTGCCTCCCATATGCACCATGACTGGGTATCTAACCCACAACCTAGGTATGTGGCCTGACTAGGACTTGAATCCACAACCTGTTGGTGTATGGGAATGGTGTTCTGACCAACTAAGCCACCCAGCCAGGGCATACACATACTCTCTTCTTATTCTTCTTTGAAATATCTAAGTGTCAGATATTGTTCTGGGTCCAGCAGTTTCAATAAAGAACATAATAATTCCTTGCCCATGAGAGAGAAATACTAATTAAATATATACATTTATTGCCTAGATAGTTCATTCAGGCCTACTATGTGCCAAATTTCTTTCTGGGTGCCTGGAATAAGTTGTGAACAAGCCCCAGTGCCTGTTCTCAGGGAGCTCACATTCTGCTGGGGAGGCTTTAGATAATTCACACCTCAACAAACAACTTGCTGTGATGATAAGTGAAATGATAAGGTGTCACCTGGGAGGTGCAGAGGCAGCCAACCTCAGATAAGGTGGTCAGGAAGGCTTCTTATCAGAGGGGACATTTGAGCTGAGAACTGAGTGACAAGGAGTCAGTCATCCAAATACTTGGGGACAGGACATTCCAGGCAGAAGAAACAGCAGAAGCAAAGGGCCTGGGGTGGGAATAATCTTGACAAGTTCAAGAGACAGCCGCCAAGCTCTGAGGGGCTGGGGTTGAGGCTAGAGAGGTGGGCGGGGCCTGCTGACGCAGGTGCCCAGTCCAAGGGTGGGGCGTGGTCTAATGGGCACCGGAAGCCACTGCAGCGTAGAAGGCAGGGTGTGGTCTAGTCATCAATTTAAAAAGGGACACTGGGCCCCAGCCAGTATGGCTCAGTGACTGGAGCCTCGTCCCTGTAAACGAAAGGTTGCGGTTTTGTTGCCCAGTCAGGGGGCACATACCTAGACTGTGGGTTCATTCCTGGTCCAGGCACGGGCGCATGTGATCCCTGGTCCTGGCATGAATTCCCGGTGTGGGTGCACACAAAGGCAACCAACCAATGGTTGCTTCTCTCGCATTGATGTTTCTCTGTCTCCCTTCCTCTCTCTAAAAAAGCAAGTGAGAATGTCCTCGGGTGAGATTAAAAAGAAAAAGGGGTGACACTGGTGGTTATGGGCAGTGAAGGGAGGCAAGACCAGAGGCTGGAGCAGTGGCTGGTGTCCTGTAGTAGCCCCAGTGGGTGCAGGGTGGTGGCTGGGCCCTGGGAGGAGGTGGTGGAGCTGGAGAGAAGTGAGTGGGGCGGCGGGGGACAGGTTCTGGGTATCGAGGCCACCGGACTTGCTCATGGGTTTAAGGGTGTGGCGTAGAGGGACTGGGGGAAAGATGACCTAGGATGACTCCTGGGTTTTTATATAGTTATGTCTAGTGAGTGCTTTGAAGGGAAAAATGGGAATGCTTTGAAGTACATGCTACAGGTATGAGAAAGGAAATAACTCTTGTTTTCTTACTCTATTCTTTATTACCACACTTCTGAAACCAGACATGTGGGTGTTTTTCCCACACCAGGCAATTCTGAAGTTCTCTCTGGACACCAACTGGTGTCCTACAATTTACTCAGTTCTGACACTATCTACCTGGAGATAGCATCAGGTCCCACAGGGCTCCTCCCCAGCAGACACCAATTATAAGTTCCAGGTTGTCACCTGTGCTTCTGACCAACTGGCTACAAGTGAGAGGTTCCTGTGATCCCCCCTCAGAGTCAACAGTTTGCTGGAGCAACTCACAGAACTCAGGAAAACATTTTACTTACTAGATTGCTGGTTTATTATAAAAGGATACAGCTCAAGAACAGCCAGATGGCAGAGGTGCCCAGGACAAGTGTGTGGGAAGGGGTGCAGAGCTTCCAGGCCCTCTTGGGGCCCCTTACTCTCCCGGCACCTCCACATGTCCACCAGCCTAGAAGCGCTCCAAACCCCTTCTGCTAGGGTTTTTGTGGAGGCATCATTAAATAGGTATGATTGGCTAAATTATTGGCCATTCCTTTCCCCAGGGGCTGGGAGGCTGAACGTTTCAACCATTTAGTCGCATGGTTGGCTCCCTGGCAACCAGCCCCACCCTGTGGTTATCCAGAGGCTTTCCAGAAACCACCTCAGTAATATAACTCAGGTGTGGTTGTAAGGGGCCGTGAATAAGATGCTCCCTTTCACCTTTATTCTTGCTCTTGTCAGGACATGCCAACGGTTTTAGGAGCTCTGTGCCAGGAGCAGGGGTGGAGACCAAATATATATCTCTTGTAAAAATATATAAAAATGACAGTGTCACAAAGTGCCTGACTGGTACAGGGTGAGTCAGGAGAAGATTCCTCAGGAGTTGACATTTGAGCCAAGCAGATATTAAGGACTGCTGGTGCCTTTGGGTAGATTACTGTTGGATGATGAGTAAGAAGCGAGATGTTCGTGCTACAAAAAAGTACTGATGACAGCTAAATATACCTGCTTTGTTCCCAATAATCTGTAGTAAAGAAAAACAATAGCTAGGGGTGTCCATCAGACTGGGCTTTTCAGGTCCGGGAAGTGATTTTCTGCAGCGGCCAGTGGGGGCAGCTCTGCGCCGGGCCCCCTGAGTGGTGGTCACTGCTGGATCCTTCTCTGCCTTCCTCTCCACATGGGAGGGCTTGCCTGCCATGGAAAGTCCCCGAGCTATACAGGTGAAAGCTGGGAGAGGCATTATGGATTAGTTTAGAGGCCCTGTTCACTGAGGTTCCCCTTGTCTACCATCCCTTTTTGAGGGAGCCCAGTATTTCACTTTGGCTGCTGGACAGAAGGAGGAATAATATTAGGGTGCTGGAGATAAGGCCTAGAGGAAAAATAATGAGCTCTTCTCTCTGATGATGACCACAACCTAAAACGTCTGCCAGCTTAATGACGATGGATTGTTGCTCTGTGGGAGTTTTGGCTGGAGGAGGGAATATGTATGTGTGCGTGTGGGTGTGTGTGTTTGTATATTTCTTTGTGCTGTTCGTAGCTTTATTCCCAGAGTCTAGCCTGGTCCCTGTCCCGGGCAGCACTCCCTTCTAGGCAAGCAAAACTGTGGAAGGCTTTCTCAGAACAGACCTTGCAGAGGTGACAGCTTGCTTACATGTTGCCATCACTATCGGTGGTATAGACGTCAGTTCCACTGTCCAGGGGGCAGGTGGAGCTGGCCAGGTTGCAGGTGAGAACTGTGTGTCTGGCAGCCGTGAGAGGTCAGGTCAGAGTGGTAAAAAGTGCAATGTCAGAACCTGGGGCTCATTTCTGGCTTTCGTGCAGTGCCGAGGCAGAGTGCAGTGCGAGGGTCCGTGGCAGCTGACTGGGTTGGCTTTGTAACAGAAGCAGTTGGACTGGAGAAGAAATGCCTTAGGGAGATGGGTGAGCCAACACCGAAGGGCAGTGGGCGGTTTTCTGCCCCTTTCCCCCGAGAGCAGTTGGGGGAACATTAGGATAGGGCTGCGTGCTCTGGAGGGCGATGGGAGCCCTCAGGCCATGTTGGAGGTGTGCCTGGAGCCTGGTAACCTCTGGAGTATCCTGTAAGAAGTGACACCGCCCCTCTCTTCCCCTGGTGTCTTGGTCCCACTTTGTCCTTATTTCTCATCCTCAAAGGAACCGGTGTTTTTCACACCCTTTCTGTAGTCAATAGCAAGCATCCTGTTTTCTTCACCCTTTAAAGATAAAATTAGACCCTTGTGTGTTTTTTCCAAACTACCCATGTCTCACTTCCTGACAGAGATTTGTGGCTCAATATATAGGCCTGTCCCTGAGCCAGTTTAATAGGGTACAACTCTCAAGGAAAATGCAGCCTGGCTTAGTTTTAGCAGGTGCAAAAAGAAAAATAAGCCAAAGAAAAAAATATTCCTTTTCATTTGTTTGCTTAAATGGGAAATAGGGATTTGGAAATTTCCCGATAACAAAAATGCATTCTTCTCTTTGGGCCTCTGTTATGTTTAGGTGTGTGACAGGTGGAGGTGGGAGGAGGCATGGAAGAGAAACGAGGTGGCAGAGGACACCCCACAATGTCAGGTCCCCCTGATGGTGGGAGCTTGGTGTCTCTGATACACAGTTTTTTACCAAACCATTACCGTAGTTTTCCAGAAGGAAAATCTATCAGAGGCCGTGAGCATGTTTGAACGTTTGATACTTGGGTCCGTTTTCTAAATCATGGTTGGCATTCTGTTAACTTACGTCCGGGAGAGCTGACTTGCTGTGAACAGACCACTTGGGGTCCCCTTGGGCAGCACCCAGAAAACCTCGGGTTTTCTTGCCTGTCCCTGTTTGTTGTTGTTGTTGTTGAACTTTGTTTGCTTAACAGGAAACCAATCAAGCAGGACAGGTGCTTTCCACAGAGTCAGGAAACCTGTTTTTTACACTAATTGCAGTTGGTTTCCCTGGGCTGTCTAGTGGTGGGAACACAGTGTGCTGTGGGGCATTGCTCCGTATTCCCAAGGACGCCGATAGAGATTTTGGGATAAGGAATGTAGCATCCAGAAATCCCTTAGATCTTGGAAGAAATGGTACATTACATGATTAAAGAAATAAACTGGAGCACCCATTTAGAATATAAAAGTTTCACTTTCCTTTCAAAGTTACCAGAATGAGGGACTGTTTAATTTAAAAGAGTTTAAAGACTCTCTGCCCTGGCTGGGGTGGCTCAGTGGGCTGGGCGTCGTTCCACAAAGCAAAAGGTCGCCAGTCTGATTCTGGTCAGGACACTTGCTTGGGTTGCAGGCTGGTCCCTGGATGGGGGTATGTGAGAGGCAACTGATTGATGTTTCTCTCTCACATTGATGTTTCTGTCCCGCTTTTTCTCCCTCCCTCCCCTTTCTCTCTCTAAAATAAATAATACATAAATAAAAGACTTTAAAGGCTATAAATAAACTGTGTGTTTATCTACTCTAAAACAATTGATGCCTCGCTCATGTACACTGAAGACTGCAGGAGTGATGATGAGCAAGTACTGTGGAACCTGAGCCCAGTTCTGCCTCTTAAGAGCTGTGTGTCCCTGGGCAAGTTACTTAACCTCTCTGTGCTTCGGTTTTCTCCTTTGTGAAATGGGGATAATCCTGGTTTTTATGGGTAGCACATGGGTTAATACATGCACAATGCTCAGAACAATGCCCAGTTCTTAGTAAATGCTATTTCATTGGTGGGTATTACCAGTAGCTCCAATTTTCTGAGCTTTGTTTCTTCATCGGTACAGTGAGGAGGATGGTCTGCATCAGTGGTCCCCCCACCCCCGCCCTGGCTGAACACTAACATGACCTGGGGAAGTTTTGAAATTCTGAAGCCTGTGCCTCCCCCTGCTTTCTTTGAAACAAAATCTCTACCAGTAGGGCCTGGGCATCTGCATTTGAAAAGAACTTCCTGCCTGATTCTGGGGCACAGCAATGCCTGAGACCTCCCAGCTTGCAAGCTGGCCCACTAGGCTTCTGTGTGGAAGGGTCCCAGCTCCCTTCCCATTCACAGGACACTAATATAGCCTCTTCCTAGTTCCTGAACACTGTCATTACTCTGACGGAAAGCCTGGTGCTCGGTGAGCAGCCTCTCCCCGTCCTCCCTCATTCTGGGTGCTCCCTAGAAATGGAATCATCAAGCATGTGGCCTTTGTGTTTGACTTCCTTCACTTAGCATACTGCACTTAAGTTCCAGCCATGGATGGTGTAGCATGTGTCAGGGCTTCATGGCTGAACACACATGACCTTCTGTGTGTTACTACATTTTGTTTTCCATTCATTCATCGGCCACTTGGGTTGTTTTTGCCCTTTAGCTATTATGAATAATGCTGCTACAAACACTTGTGTAAGGTGTTTATTTGAATACCTATTTTCAATTCTTTCGAGTATTTACCTGGAAGTAGAATTTCAATGGTAATTCTATATTTAACTTTTTGAGCACCCACTAGACTGTTTGTGTGATTAAACTTAACTCTCTTTTTTGTCCTCACAGGTCTTCCTTGACTTGTCCCCACTGCCTGAAACAGAGCAACACCTTTGACCCTTTCCTATGCGTGTCACTACCGATCCCCTTGCGCCAGACAAGGTGTGCAAGCGTCGTGCATGAACCTGACTTCCCTACTCCTTACTGGGAACCTCTGGCCTTGCATCTACAGTTGTCTTTCTTTTGCTTCTCAGTCAGCGTTTCTCTAGGAAGCAGCCTTACAGCTGGGAATGTTCAGTTATTGGATGTGACAATTAAAGTGAAAGGTTACTGTGTTTCTTTTTTAGCTGAAGAAGGAATTATAAACTGTGCTTTTGTTTGTTGGCACCAGGCTATGTCTTTGGCCCACTCAGAAGCTGGTACCGGCCAATGGGTGCCACTCGGTCAGACTGACAAACCAGAGAAAATCTGTTACCACCTGCTTTTTCATGCTTTATTGTTAATCCTTTCCCCCTTTTGTGAACGTGTAGGAAAAGGTTTATCTAAAGGGCAAAGACGAAGGAAAAGGGTTCTTGGAGGTGAGAGAAAGAAAAGGGGACTTCGGGTTGGGTAAGAGCCACAGTGGGGCTTGGCTTTATGAAAGCAGGAGACACACAGTGCAGGCTTCCCACACGCCCAACACTCAGCAGTGATCTTACGGGGACGGGCCAATGTCAGTGTCATGGAAGCTGAGTGAACTCCTAGATGGAGTGCCTTCACGGGCATTAAGATGGAGGCACTTCTTCCTCATGTTCCCCACCTCTGTGAATACCGTTTCTCATCCTCCATCTTTATGACACAGCTGAAGGCATGACAGCCTCCTAAAGCCATTCCTGGCCACTTAGGCCCCCGTCTGCTCTGAATTCCTGTGCTGCCGAGAGTCTAGGCCACAAGTACAACACTGGCTTGTCCTGCCTCCAGTGACACCCTCAGAGGATGTCCACTGCCAGATGTGAGTTAAATTTCCTGGCTTGACGTAGCATGGCACTCTGGTTGGGACCACTGACTCTGGGGTCAGACAGCCTGGGTTCAAATCCCAGCTCTATAAATTAGCTGTGTGAATTGAGTAATGACTGCAGTGTAGACCAGGAGAAACAGGTGTCAGAGGAGAGAAGCCTGGTGTGTGGTGGACACAGTAGGAAGTGGGGCCGACGCAAAACCCTGTCCTTACCAAGGGAGAATTTCAGTAAGGAAAGGAAGGCCGAATCACATTGAAGAAGAAGCTTGGCTACTTTATTTCTCAAACAAACTCCAAAGTTTAATTTTGGTTACGGTTATTTATTTAACAAACAGAACCTTGACACAATAGGTCTGTATTGTGATTATTAATCAAGTACTTTTTATTTTTAACTTGGTGGAAAAGTACTCTGCTGATTCCCTCTGAGCATTGGCTCTCCAGTGCCACCTGGTGACAGTGTACCTGAAATGCAGTGACCCAACTTGGAAGCAGAGATAAGCCCAGGTGCTGAACTTGACCTTGTGTCTGTGGTGTTGGTGACAGTTCATGTCAGTCCTTCAGAGATGTGGACTCTCTCCTATGTTTTAGATTCCTGAGCATCACCTTGGCCTTCCCCTCTAAGAGCCAGCAGTTCCTGCGGGTTGGCCTGGCCGTGCCGATCCTCAGCACAGTGGCAGCCCTAAGGAAGATGGTGGCGGAGGAAGGAAGCGTCCCTGTGGATGAGGTATGATGGGATTGCATGGGGCCTGAGCTCTGGGTGATGCAGTGCTAACTGAGCCAGCTGTCCTGGTTGTTTAGGCTAATTTCTGGTTCCCGGGTGAGTACGGCATGATTCATGAGTTTCTGTTTGATTAGTAGTCCCCGGTGTCTGTGATGACCAGGCTTGACCTCTCTGGGCATTTGCATAGGATAACCAGAAAAAGACACTGCCTTTGTCTTCCCAGAAGCTGGTAATGATCACAATTACAGTAATCCCAACAATAGCTGTCCCTCAGGAGGGCTTACTGAGTGCTGGGCGCGACTCTATGAACTTTATAGTCATAGTCAGTTCTCACAGCTGTCCTGCGAAATATTGCATTGGCCAAAAAGTTCATTTAGTTTTTTCCATACAATGGCTGTACTAAGTGATTAGTTGTCTTTAACTTCATTTGAAACAGTTTTTTTTAGATTGCATTGTGACAGCTGTCATATCAGCATGCATTAAAAAAAACTTCTTAACATTGGTGAATTTTTGTGCAGCCATTTTAATGTTGAAGATGGAAGAAAATGTGCAATATTTTTAGTGTATTATGCTTTATTATTTCAAGAAAGGTAAAAATGCAACTGAAATGCAAAATAAAAAGATTTGAGCAGTGTATGGAGAAGGTGCTGTGACTGATCGAACATGTCAAAAGTGGTTTGTGAAGTTTCTTGGTGCTCTTGACATTTTGGCCAAATAATCCTTTGCTGTGGGGCTGTCTTATGCATTGGAAGATGTTTAGCAGCACTCCTGGCCTCTACCCACTGGAAGCCAATAGCGGGAGATAGCCAACATACTCAGAATTATCCAAGGCAATAGTTATTGGCGAAAATGAAAAATGTGTCTTCTATTTTATGGGAAAAAACAGACAGACTTTTGGCCAACCGAATAGATACTACGATTGCCCTCATTTGCCAGTGAGCAAAGAAGAGGTGTTGAGGGGCCGAGTGGCTTGCCCAGGGTCACAGAGCTGGTAAGTGGCTGAGCCCAGACTTGAACACAGGTGACTTGATTTCAGAGCCTGAGCTACTGTTTGTATTTTACTCCCAAAGAGATAAGCCAGGATACTGAAGGGGCAGTCCATGAAAAATGAGGACCACCAAGGAAACTGAGGATGTGTAACATGAGAGGAGAGACTTGGGAGAAAGTGGGATTGGCTGTGCTGTACAGATTAGATTCTCTGTGACTTGGGAGGACAGAACTCCTAAGGGCTGCTGCCCCCACCCCTGCCCCAAGAAAAGGACAGGCAGAGGTGATGGTGGTGAAAACCAATGTGGCGTGAAGGGAAGGGCTCAGCATGAGGTTCTAACTGTAATGCAGTCACGTTCTAGTTTTCTGACCTTGGACAAAGTTATTGGTCCTCTGTTTCTTCAACTGTAAAATTGATGACCTCTTGGGTTTTTTTTTTTTTCACAAATTAAAAAATATTTTTAACATTTGTTGTTAAGGAATAACACACATACACTAAAGTGTGCATGCCTTAAGGTTAAATTTGTTTAATTTTTACATGCACATACCTCTGTGTAAATCACCATGATTACTGAGCCTTTCTATCACCCCAGTGGTCTCCTCCCTGCCCCCACCCAATCCCTCCCTCTGACTTCTGCATCTGATTTTATGAGGATCTCAGGTGCATAAAAATGTGTGCGTATTGCTTTGTAAACTCAAAGTGCTCTGTGGAGATCTAGTGAGAGAATGAGAGAGAGTAGGACAGTAGGTGAGAGTCTTCGGAAAACAATGTCAGCAATGAAAGATCAGAAGTCTGAGAGGTAGAGTTTGAATAATCAAGAGAGTAAAAGGACTGTCAGGAATTTGAGAGATGTGATATGTTTGTTCTGGGAGATACATATCACTTGGGAGTTCTCAGCACAGGAATGGGCACTGTGCCTGAAACTTAAAATCTATTTTGATATTTAGTTTTAACAGACCACTTGATTCCATTGATATTGTATATGATCATGGACGTCTTTGGACTTATTTTATGCTTTCTATATACCCTGCTTTTCCTTTGTTTCTTTTTTGCTCCTTTACTGCTTCTTTTACATTGAGAAATTTTTCATTTCACCTCTTCAGGTGTGGGACATACACATTACATTTCTATGCTCTTGCTGATTAGCATTAAGATGTCAACATGTGTAATGAACAAAGTTGTATGCTAATTTTCCCAAGCAACACAAGGATCTTGGCTGCTTTAATTTCCTTTATTTCTTTTGATTTAGATATTGTTGTAGATGGATAACCGCCCCTCCCTGTTCTCCCTGGTTGTAGTAGTAATATGGTTGTTATTACAGGTTGAATATATTCAATGCCTATTTACATTTACCAATGTTTACCTTTTTTTGTTGTTCATCATTTAAACTCAAGTTTTCCTCTGGGATTCAATTTTTTAACCCTGAAATGTATCTTTTACAAGAGAATTTTTAGCCCTGGCCAGTGTGTAGGGGAGCTCCATCCAGCAGAGCTCTCCCAGCTGCCGTGGATGAGATAAATCTGCCAAGACAGGATCTGCTTGGGGAGGAGAGGCTGACCAATCTTGCAGAGAAAGGCCTAGAGCCTCTTTCTCGATGGGCTTTGATTGGGTTTAGTTTGCATAGGAATATAGGACATATATGTGAAGCTCATCAATCATTGTCAGGCAGTAATGATCAAGGAATAGATAACATTCAAAGAACTATAAGGGCTTATTCTGAGTCAGGGTCAGATAGATAGAGTGGTGACAGAGGGCCATAAAACTTTGGGAAACAAACTCTATTTTATGCTTGGACCCTTAACATTTAAATTGAGGGCATTCTTAGCAAAGCAGGTTTCACAGGATTTTATGCATTCTCCCTTAGTCCTCCCGGAAATCGCTGTCCCTGTACAGGGCCGCACCCCACTTTGGCATTGTTTCAGGCCTGAATCAGGCAGGAGAAGCAAGGCAGCCAAGAGATTAGGAGACTTTTTACAGGTAGAATGAGGACTCAGGCTATGACAAAGCTGAGGAGTAAGGGTCTTTTATCCCTGATGGCCCCTTCATGACAGTGCCTGTCTTAGGTTGTTCCTTTCTTGAGGAATCTAACCCATCATTGACTATCCAGCCTTCCTCCAGGGGCCAAGCAGGGTGAAGTAAAGGGGGCAGAGCCTCTGCCAGGAGGATAAGTCTTGTCTGCTTAGTGGCTTATAGTCCCAAGGTCCCCTAGCCGTGGGGCCTTTTTGCCTGTTGGTGAGGTTCTAGCTCCTGAAATGAGGCAGAGTGGTCCCCAACACTGGTGGATTGAGCATGGGCCTGCCAACCAAAGGGTTGCTGGTGTGATTTTCAGTCAGGGCACAAGCCTGGGTTGCAGGCCTGGTCCCCAGGAGGGGCACGCAAGAGACAACCACACATTGATGTTTCTCTCCTTTTTTTCTCCTTCTCTTGCCCTCTTTCCAAAAATAAATAAATAAAATCTTTTAAAGAAAAAAGAGAGAATTTTTAGCCAGTGTTTCTTGGATGCTGTGTGTGTGCCAGGATGTTGATTTCTTTTTTTTTATTTTATTTTATTTTATTTATTTATTTTTAGAGAGGGAAGGGAGGGAGATAGAGAGAGAGAGAGAGAGAGAGAGAATCATCAATGTGCGGTTGCTGGGGGTTATGGCCTGCAACCGAGGAATGTACCCTGGCTGGGAATCGAACCTGGGACACTTTGGTTCCCAGCCCGTGCTCAATCCACTGAGCTACGCCAGCCAGGTAAGGATGTTGATTTCTTTAGCCCCAGAGGCAACAGAGTTGGGTCTGCGGTAGCCAGGGCCCTGGAGGCAGTCACCCCTCTTTTCCTCTGAAAAACCAGCTGCTTCTGCTTACTCAGTGTTCCATCATGTGTGTCAACATAAAAAGTTAGCAATACTCTTTAGATTTATTAAGTTCTTTCAGTGGAGATCTGCTAATGGTAAACATTCTCACTTTTTATCTGATGATTTTATTTTATGCTCATCTTGCATGATACATTAGCTGGGTATTAACCTTCAGATTTTTTCAACTTTCTTCCCCTCAACCCTTCCCTGGGGCAGTTTGGTATTCTATTGTCGCAGTTGAGATGTCTGTATTCCATCTACTTGTTATAACTGTGCTTTAGTACTAAAAATAAGTAGTATTTTTCACTAGCTAGAAGGGAGGAGAGGATAAAGGAGAGGTTTAAGCCTATCAGTCACTTTTATTTTATTATTTTTAAAAATGTCAATTATGGTTGCTGTTCAATATTATATTAGTTTCAGGTGTACAGCATAGTGGTTAGACATTTATTCAACTTATGAGGTGATCCCCCATAAGTCTGGTACCCATCTGACATGGTACACAGTTATTATAATATTATTGACTGTGTTCCCTATGCTGTGCTTTGCATCTCTGGGGCTATTTTGTAACTGCAAATTTGTGCTTCTTAATCCCTTCACTTTTAGATTTCTCATCTGTTTAGTTCCTCTTGAGGGATGGAGATGGAAAACGGTCCTTCTCATTCCAGGTGATCTTGGTTGAGCTGTACCCCAGTGGACTCCAGCGGTCCTTCTCTGATGAAGAGGACCTGAACTCCATTGCAGAGGAAGACAACGTGTACGCCTTCCGAGCCCCCCCACCACCTGGCCAGGAGGTACTCTCAGGTACACTAGTGCTTGAATGTCATAAGTTACAGGTCTGACAAAGCGCTCATTGGGCACTAAGGCATACAACATTTACATTTTAGTACTTGGAACTGTCACGCTTATTTTATCTGATATTTGCTGTATAGATAGTTGGTTACTTACAACTATGCCACTCATACAGGGGTTTTCCAGACCTTAGTGAATGTCAGCATCACCCAGAGGCTTGTGTAAGCAGATTTCTGAGCCCTACCCACAGAGTTTCTTATGTGCTGGGGCAGGGCCAGAGAATCTGCAGGTACGGCAAGTTCCAGGCAGTACCGATGCTGCCAGCCCCAAAGCCGCGCTTCGACTGTCACTGATCAGAACAGGTGCTGGGGGAGTCTTTGCTTTCAGACTCCAGTGTTCAAGGTCTGTGCTTAAAGTAATTTTATTACAAACTGGAGCAGTAGATGGGCAAAGAGGTTATTAAATGACCTTTTGTTAAAGGTTCCACTTCCTAATGCTTGCCTGTCCTGAACTTGAGATTGGCTGAAGTGGCCCGTTCCTGTCAGTCTTTCATTGTCGGTCAGTGTACATTTGGCCCAGTCAGCCAGTAAGGAAGGCCCGTATTGAGAGTGCCCTGTGCCCATGGTGCCGTGCATGCCCGGCGAATCCCAACCCGGACCTGGCCCCGCATCCTTGCCGGCGTAGGCAGCCAGCTGTGGGAGCCAGGTGTCTCCAGTTCTTCTGGGTCAACAGATACATTCTGGGCAAGGAGTTCGGGACAGGACATTGACCAACCCTGAATATGTTATAACTCAGTGAAATAAGCCCTCATTTCAGATCCAGTCACAGGCGACACACCTGTGCCTTAAGAGTCAGATTTTCAGCACTGATTGGAAATTGAGGCAAGTCCGATTCCCCTACTTCCTCAAGGGTAACGATCCTTACCTTTTCTGTGTGATTCTTATGTTGGCTCTTTGATCAGGTGAACAAATATCCAAAATAATTTTGGAATATTTTTTAAATTGGCTTTGAAAAGTGTTCATTATAATCCCTGCCTTATCTTTAAATTATTGCCTGAACACAACACAGATTCTCTACTAATTACGTAATCTTTGTGTGCAGGTGGCAGGTGGCCACGAACCCTGTATCTCTTCCCCTAAAGTGCTCTAGTGTCTCCCAGCAGCGGTGGTGGAGGGAGGCTGAGAGAGAAGGAGGGCCTAGAGGAGCCAGGGGTTTGACCTAGCAAAGCAGTTCCATGAAGAATACAAATGCAGTTCTCTCTCCTCAGCTCATCCGCCTGGTGTGTCCATCTCTCCTCGCTTGGCAGCCCGAGAGGGTCAGCGACTGTCCCTGCCCGCTCACAGTGAGAACAAGGTGCTAGTCCTCTTCTGCAACCTGGTGGGGTCAGGGCAGCAGGCTAGCAGGTATATTCAATTTCATCCTTCTTTTTATGTGATATCTGGGATGCGTAGACATATATTGGAATTCTGTCTAGAATAATTCTAATTTGATAAAATTAAACATCCATTCTCAAGGTTAATCAACTAGGAGTAGGGGATGGGGTACTTTTTGATCAAAAGATCAGAAATAACTGATCTTTTGTCATAAGCAGATGGCAAACATTGTCCTTAACAATTAAACATTGAAAGCTTTCTAATGATTTCAGGAATAATTATTATTGCTGTCACCACTATTATATTATACTGTGTTCTAAGGCCTGGGCAGTACTGTAAGACAAGGAAAAAGAAACTGGCTTTAAGAGGAGATACAGTTACCGCTCTTTGCAGATGATAGCATTGCCTGTCCAGAGCACCAAAAACTTGAAAGTTGTTCAAACTAACAGAAGGGTTCAGGAAAGTGACCGGTCACGTAACTAATATACAAAAGGAGATAGTTTCTTACATAGTCCAAATGAAATGTTTAAAAGATATAACTCCCATCAAAATTTTTCAGATTGGTAAAATGTTTCTAAAATTTATCTAGAATCATAAACTTGTGAGAATAGCCAGAAAAAATAGTGGGAACGGGGAAAAAGGAAGAAGAGGGGTTGCTCTATTAAAACAGAGTGAGGGTTTAATTATTAAAATATTGTGCTATAGGCAGAAGAATAGAAACTTAAATCAATGGAACAGAACAGGCCAAAGTACAGTTAAGTACTATATGATAAAAATACTTCACATTACTAGGTAGTGAATGAATTATTCAGTGTGTAAGGCTGGGCTAACTGATTTGTTTTTTAAGTTTATATAATCAATGTTTTACTTCCGCCATAAATTCACAGGTATAAATTCCAGGTTGATTAGAGAGGTAAGTTAGAGTGAGGGAAACCATAAAATAACTTGAAGATAGTGTAGAGGCATATTTTCATCTTGGAGTGGAGCCTTTTTAACCCTTAAATCAGGAGCTATAAAGGAACAGGATAATGTTTTAAATATATTTACAGTTTTAAATTAAAAGTGAATTTGAAAAGCAAGGCGCAAAGAAGAAAAATATTTGCATCATGTGACAGGTACAGGATTCGTATTCGTCACATAAAACTTGGCTCTCCAATCAGCAAAATACTCTTATAAAATGTGCCTCAGAGATTAACATTAATTCACACAAGAAATACAAGCTTAAGTTAAAATATTCAGCTTCATATAAAGTAGAAGAAATTCTGATTGCAATAGCGAGCTGCCACTCTCAACTTTTCAGATTGTGAAAGAACTTTTAAAAGCTGCTGCTACTCATTCTAGGCGAGTGTTGGGGGATGGGGGCCCGCTCCCAAGTGGTGAAGGCTGTGGTGTTTCTGGAGGCAGCTGGGGAATAGACAGCTTTGCATTTCTACTCCTGCAACTTTATCCCGAAGAAACAATTGGTCATGTGCACCCAAAGGCAAATGTATAAGCATATAGATAGTTCCTGTTATAAGCAAGCATCGTTTAAATAAGAAATTAGAAGCAACTGGAATGACTAATTTATGATAGAGGATAAGGGAAATAAACCACTCTCTCCACACAGCCGTGGACGGCACAGTGCTCTTGCCCGTCCAGACACACCGCCTCAGCGCTGTGCTGGTTCAGTAAAGGCCATTCTACAGTTTCCCATTCATAGCCCGTTGGGTCTTCACACACCCTGTGCGGTGTGGCCATGGAACAATCAATGGTCAGTAATGTGTCCAGAGCCACCCATGGCTGCGCTAGAACTGATGGCAGCAGCCACATCTGGCATCCTCAACATTAGAAGCTCACTCCTTTCTGTTCATCAGATTGGGATATGAAAAAATTCCCAGTTAATGAGAATAAATCTGGTGCACAAAACCAGCAGCACCAGCTGGACTGGGTTCCCTCCAGGTTTATCAACGCCTTGCTTTCCTCTGGCTGCGGTGTCCCCTTCCTCTCCTTTCCACTGTGGGGAAGAGTCTCTCAGCCGCTGATCACTTGGAGCCATCTGTTTTACATTGCAGCATCTCTCCATGGCTTTGTGTCCCCCTGGGCCCCTGTTCACACCCCAGTGTCGCCATTTACAGCAGAGTTCTCTGGCAAGTTTGTATTATGCTTGACATTTAACTTTTATCCAGTGGAGAGTTGCCTTTGAGTAGAGCATAGGCTCACAGCTGTCAGTTGTTGGTGGTTTTTCCTTTGTTGAAATAATCTGGTGTCCTTGGATTGTCAGATTTGGGCCACCCTTCCTGATTAGGGAAGACAGAACCATTTCCTGGGCCCAGCTCCAGCAGTGCATCCTCAGTAATGTCCGCTACCTCATGAAGAGTGAGGCCCCGGGACAGCAGGTCAGTGCGTGTGTGTGTGTGTGTGTGTGTGTGTGTGTGTGTGTGTGAGAGAGAGAGAGTGTGTGTGTTGGGAGGGGGTGGAGGTGGGGGTAGAAAGCTAGGAGTAGCTCAGAAGAGATGAGAATTTGCCCTTAACGAGTACTCACATTGTTGTATGAAACAACTTTGGTTTATGTGTGCGGAAATAACCAGTGGATGACCTGTAGTGTTTCACTCTCTATGGCATTGCAAAAGAACTTTCATGGACAAAGCTTTTTCCTCATTAAATCTTACAAAACACCATTGAAATAAAGAGCAGCATTTATGTAATTCTTCTGAATTTTATATATTTTTGGCTTACCATAGTTCTTTCTAGAGGATAGCTTGTTGTAATAAATTGTAACTTTCATGTTTGGATCAAAAATTTCAAGGGACTTCAGATATAACTTCTGTGGAAAATAAACATTGATGTTTATGTTCAAATATGAAAACCGAGATAGTATAATAATTTTGTCCAGTTTTTTTAAAAAAAATGAGATAGAAACTCAAGGGAAAACACCTTATTTTGCCTTGCTCACTTGTTTTTTCTCGGGTTGGTAGTTTTCAAGTAACATCTTGCAAATCCATCTCCACCAGCCCCTGTGGTATCAGAAAGGTTTCTGACGGCTGTCTGGCACAGGTGCTGACATTTTTAGGGATAGGTCAGTGGCATCCGAACTTTGTTTCCCTCCAACTATTCTCTTAGGAAGAACTTTGTATTTGGGAGCTGTACCAATACTCATTTCAGTGGTAATTCTTTATCATTCACGCTCCCTCGGGCACAGAGAAAAACCCTGAATTTAGGGTTTACCCCAAGAATCCCTGTGTTAAGGACCTTCCCCCCATTTGAATCTATCCTGGTCTCCAAGGGATTTTGCTCTCTGTTCTGCCCAGCAGATCTGCCACGGTGCCCAAATTAGAAGCATGGACTTCTCTCTAAGTAGGTCACAGTATCTAGGAATAGCTTTAGCCTTCCCCCAAACCCTGTGTTCCTGATTCTTGAAAGTGGGTGAAACCATGGCCATGTGACCCTTGAACTCTGCTGGCCTCATTCTGCACTTGGACACACCTGTACTTTGGCCTCTGCGCCCTTACAGTCATTCCGAGTTTAGAAACCAGTCAGCAAGCCAAGGTGCCAACAAAGTTCTAATATAGGTAGCCTCCCACTCAACTATGGATGCTTTTCCACAGTCCCTGTGTGCTTGGACATGATTTTCTGCAGGAATGCTGTATTCTAAATGGTTGTGAGCTTGCCAGGCCAGCCCACCCATTTAACTCATAATGCTTTTAGTAATCTAGCTAATACTGGCTTAACATGGTAATAATTTGGAAAGAATACATTCAGAATTCATAACACTGAACTGAAGATATCAAAAATAGTGAACATATATTTGAGGCTGTAGGCAAGAACAGAGGACAGGAAAGTAAGTGTCTCTCACAAAAATGACTAATTTGCTAGATGGCCTTAATTTGCATGAATTATAGAAAAAGAGATTTATGCCCTGGGTGGATGGCTCAGTTAGCTGGAGTGTTGTCCTGTACACCAAAATGTTGTGGGTTTGATCCGCGATCAGGGCACGTACCTAGGTTGCGGGTTCGATCCCTGGTCAGGGTGCATATGGGGGGCAACCGATCAGTGTGCCTCTCATACACTGACATTTCTCCCTCTTTAAAATTAATTTTTAAAAAAACCCACATCCTCAGGTGAGGATTAAACAAATTTTTAAAAGCCTCATAGTATTTCTTTATATAGCTTATTTTGAAGTGTTTACTTAGCATTTAGTATGTAAAATGTACACTAATTTGCTTTTCGATTATTGGCTCATTTTGGTAATTTGGTGATAATTATCTGAAAGTAAGTTAAATTACCTATTAATAACTCATTAACGTAACTGACTCATTTTTCCATTGACTCTGCCAGCTCCTGTTCCAATTAAGCACAAGTTATTTAAAAGCAGTATGTTTATCCTTTCAGAAAATGTAATGTGTTAACAGTGTTAAATTACTGTGTTAATAGAGACAGTGTGTATCTTCAAAGTCAGAGGAAGCCTTCCCAGGTTTTGAATACTGATCATTGAGGGAATATTCAAAATAGACTAAAAATAAAGGAAATTGCATTTATTTGCACATAAGAGTCTAATTTAAACCAGCATGCATGGTGACCCACCCTCCCCTGTGTTCGTCTTGGCAGAACCCAGGGTCGCTGTTCTCCATCCGGGTTGTGGGGCAGTCCCTGGCCTGGAGCTACTTGTCCCCACAGGACAGCAGGCCCCTCTGTCACTGGGCAGTCGACAGGTAAGGGGATGTTCCCAATTTGGTGAGAGAATGAATGTGATCTCATTTGACTAGACCCCTTTGAGAATAGGCATCAACGAAGGTGATGACAGTCTCAGCTGCTCTTGGTCACTTCCCTCTCTAGTGCCCGCCCCCAGGTTAGGTCCTCATGCACATTCTGTGCTTGCAGCCCTTCTGTCTAGAGACCTTCTCCGATGGCCACGTCAAAGACGAGCTGCTAGGGTTCCCAGAGATCTCAGTTAACTTGCTAGTGAATGGCTGAAGCTGAATTTGAACCCAGATACGACCGAAAAACCCAAATTCCCTCAATTAGTCATTAGCTACTAAATTCAACCTGAATCCCCCTGTAGGGCATGGGAGAATTCTACCACTGACCCATTGGCCCCAAACTGTGGAAGGTTGTGGCCTCTGGTTGAGGACTGAACCAGTGTGGCCGTGTCTCCGGTGGTTCTGATGCCGTGACTTTCCACGGGCCTGCACTGCAGCCTCCCGCTGGGTGCAGCCTGGCCGGGCGGCCTGCAGGCAGCTCAGTACCCGACAGGCAGTCTGCTCATTTCCCACGAAGTTCTCAGTCAGGTTGTCATGTTTCCTGGCTTGGTCAACCCAAGCTGACTGAATCTATAGTACAGGTGCGATATTTTGGTTTATAATAAGAAATATATATTTTGGGGTTCCCAGCTCCGGCACAGAGCTCCTAAAACCCTTGGAATTTCCTAAACAATAAAAGCATTAAAGATATCTTGTTATTATTCATAATAAACCCCTTTCAACCGCACCCAAGTTTGTGTTAAAGAGGTTACTACTGGAAAGCACCTAAGGGTGGGGCTGGTTGCCAGGAGAACCAACCACGTGACTGGAGGTTTGGAACTTTCTGTCTCATCCACCTGACCTTGGGGAGGGGTTGAAGGGCTGGAGGTTGAATCTGTCCCCAGTGGCTAATGATTTACTCAATCCTGACTGTGTACTGAAGTCTGCATAAAAACCCAAAAGGACATTATTTGGGGAGCTCCAGGACTGATGAACATGTGGAGGTGCTGGGAGAGGGGAGCCTGGAGAGGGTGTGCATGCTCCCTGCTTGTTCTCACAAACCTTGCCCTATGCATCTCTTCCATCTCTCCGTTCCCGAGCTGTAACAGACTGGTGATCTAGTTAGTAAACTGTTCTCCGAGCTCTGTGAGCTGCTGTAAGCAAATTAATTAAACCCAAGGAAGGGATCCCTGGATCATCCAATCTATTGTTATTGGGTTGGTCGGGAGCACAGGGGACAGCTTAGACTTGCCATTGGTGTCTGAGGTGGGGGAGGGGTGCTGAGAGTCTTACAGGACTGAGCCTTAACTTGTGGGATCTGATGCTGTCTCTAGGTAGACAGTTCAGAATTGATTTAATTGCTTGGTGGTATGGAAAAAACAAAACATTGGAATTGGTGTCAAAATCTAAATTGGTATCAGACTGTAATAGAGAAGGGTCCCTCCCTCTATAAAGGGACCAGGAACCAAGATGAGGGTAAGCCAGAAAGTTCTGTGCCCTGTACCTCATCTGCACTCTCTTTGGCTGGTAGCTGCTACACAGAGTTAGGGAGGCAGGAGAAATGTCAGCCAGAGCCTGCTTGGGTCTGACCGGGAGAGAGAGTGTGGGGGTGAGGCTGAGGCTCTGAGAAGGGCCCTATTTTGTATGTCTCTCCTCCCCCTGCCAGTACACTTTTATTATAGTTTACAAAAGTATTAGTCTGCACTGGTTTGGAAACAAACCAAGGAACGGGTCTCTCACTGTAGGTAGTTTGGGAAGCACTCTGCAAGTTGGCCACGCTGAAGGGAGCCCACCCCTGAGGCCCCAGCCCTCTGGTTACACCTGCCCTCTGCCCAGCCTGCCCCTGCAGGCTGGCCCTGCCTCTGCCTCACCACCCCACCACCACCTCGCTTGGGCAACTCTCCCTCCATTACCCCAGCACCCCCTTGTCCTCCTAGAAATTCTTAAAATTGTGGCAAAATACACAAAATATATAATTTACCATCATAACCACTTTCCAGTGGACCGCTCAATAGTGTTAATTAAGCACATGTACATCATTGTGCAAACATCACCACTATTCATCGTGAGAACTTTTCTCATCTTCCTAAACTGGAACCTTGACCTCATTAATCAGCAACTCCCCACTCCCCTGCCCCTCAGCCCGTGACAACCACCTCTCCACTTTCTGCCTCTGTGAATCCGACGCTCTGGGTACCGCCCATGAGTGGAGCCCTATAGAACTGTCCTCCTGTGGTTGCTTTATTGCACTTGGTATAGTCTTCAAGGTTCATCCACATTGCAGCACGTGTCAGAATTTCCTTTGTTTATAAGGCTGAATAATATTTCATTGTGTGGATATACCATATCTTGTTTATCTTCTAGAAATTTCTTTGTGTCCTTGAAGCGTTTCTGTCCCTCTCTGGGACCCTTAAATGTTGTCGGGCCTCAGTGCCCCACTCCTACCCCCTGCACACTCCCTCCACATTCCACCCCTGCCTGAAAGACCTCGCCTTGGTTCTGCCAACCACCCTCAGGTCCAGGTCTCTCAGCTCTCTACCTCCATTTTTATCTGAGGTACAGACTCACGTGGCCTACTTAAATGTTTCATAGACATGAAAACTAAACATTTGCCAATCTGAACTCTTCCTGGGCAGGGCTTTTCTCTCCAGTCTTCTGTGACTAAAGATAACCACCATCTACTCAGTGACCAACCTGGTGACTGGGGACTTATCCTTGATTCCTTCCCTCTTTTTGCTTTCTCCTTAAGTTTAACCCACCATCAAGTCTTCTTGTTTCAAATCTGGGTGACTCCTCAGACCTGTTCCTTCCTCTCTACCTTTACGACCGTTGCCTGAATTCAGTCCTTATCACCTCTTAGCTGGACGCCCCGGAACCTCCACTCTGACCTGCCTCCCTCTCACCGGTCTTCTGCATCTGCCCATTTAAAACCCTTCAGTGGCCCACAGGGTAGTGTCCACACCCCCAAGGGTGGCTTTCAAAGCCCTCCGTCCCTCCAAGGTCTGGGCCCACCCTCCCACCCTCTCACCGTGCGCCCCTCACCCCACCCTGGCCTCTGCTCCTCATTCCAGCACATACCATACCCTAGGCTCCCCCCGAGCCCTCTGCCTGTACAACCCTTTGACCCTTCCCACTTACCACTCACCGTGGATCTGGAAACTCCCGCTCCCCCTCTGCGTGGGTGCACTTCCTCTGAGTTCGCTCAGCACCCTGGGCGCATTACAGCCGTCGCTTTGCGCTCTTCTCCCATTAGACTCTTAGCTCCTTCAGGGTAGAGATCATGTCCCTGTGCTCCTTGGAATCACGTCCTACCATGCAGTCAGATGCTGCCCTGGTTCCCGTTTGGGTGAGATGCGGACTTCAGCTCACACTCGCGCTTCTCCCCTTTGTGTGGCCCATGGGGCTTTGTGTAACAGAGTCAAAGCCTGAAGGTGCCAGTTCTCCTTTTCCACCATGCAGCTGAGACTCCAGTTGAAAAGGAGACTGAGGACTGAGGCAGAAAGGGGTCAGCACGCTGGGCTTGTGAGACCATCCTTCACTCGTTAAAGGGTGTGGCTTAGACAAGTCTGATGTGAGCTTTTGACTAGGTTCCCCAGAACTAAATACCCCCACCCCCCAGCAAGGCAGGTCTCCCCAGTTGTGGAAATGGAGAATGTGAGGGTCCCAAAGAAGGTTTAGAGGTAGGGCAGCAAACAGGCTCCCTGGTGTGTCTCCTCTGAATTGAACATAAGCCCCAATCTGCCAGCCTTCCACCTGCAGGGATGGAGCTGCTGCCAGGAAGCGCAACGCATGAGTGAGAGGATGGCAGCCCTGGGCCGTAGGGAGGTGTGAGCAGGAGGGGTGAGCTGATCACCTCCCCCTAACCCCATCAACCAGATAAGGGGCTGCTTCTCCTCTTTGGGGGAGCTGAAGCGGATGAAGAAGGAGACAATCACATGCCTGTGTCTTAGTTCCCCTCAGCCTACAGAAGAGTAAGGAAGGGCAGTCATTCTTCATCTGGAATGATAAGCTGGGAGGGCTTCTCCTAGATACACCTTGTTCTTTGCTCCCTCCTGGCTCTTGTTCCTCAGGTGGTGCCACACCTCCACCCCAGACCTGGTGCGGCTCAGCCACAGGGTTTTCTACCTTCCACGAGCTCAAACCCTGTTTTTTGGAATCATGCTAGTGTCAGTTAGGAACTCATGTGACATTCCTTCTTTTTTTTATTATGATGCATTCTAAGCATCTTTAGGTGCAGACTCCCCCAGTACTTGCATATGTCTTATTGATTTGGGGACAAAGCCTTACGTCCTCCATGCTTTTCTTGACTTACCTCTTCTGTGTTAAGAACAACCAACCTTTTCTTGGCTGAGGTTGAGCTGAGCCCAGGTAGCTGGGAAGAGCTGTAGATTGATTCACATGGAGAGTTTCTAGGTATTTGAGGGTCTGAAAGAGAAAACCTTCTAGTGTGTGGAGGTGGGCCAAAGGGTGTTTCTGCCACATCGTGGTGGAGGAAAGTTAGCTCATTTTAGGCTTCATCAGAATGGGGATTTGTGTAGGACATTCAAGCGGAACTGCCCTCTGGACACTGAGGAAGCTCTGCGGTGCAGTAGGAGAGCCGATCCATGTTCTCAGAGTCACCCAGCTCCTCAGAGCTCGTGAGCTCCCAAGGGAGCAAGTGGAGCCTACTCAGAGGCTGATTAGGACTGAGTCTTCAGCAGACAGCAGCTCCCTGGATACCCGACCTCGGTTCTCACTCATCATTGGGCATTTCTGTTTGGAACATCAGTCCTGGGGTGGAGGGAGGCCTTTGGACCCTGCTGGGATGTGGGGAGGAGGCCTCATGCTTTCTGATGGGCTCCTTGTTCTCTCCTCAGGGCTTTGCACCTCAGGAAGCCAGGAGGCCCCCCACATGTCAAACTGGCCGTCGAGTGGGACAGCTGTGTCAAGGAGCGGTGAGTTTGATGGGATTTGGCTCCAGCAACCAGAGACGGTGCCTGGCAGTGCAAAGAAGCCTTCCTGTGCCCAGTTTCCCCCATGACTGTCAGGCAGTATGCCTGTTTCCTCGATGCCATGCAATTCATGCCTCTGAGAAACCCAAATGATTGCTGTAGGTAAACAACAGTGATAGTACAGGCAGACCCTGAAGATATTGGGGGTTTGGTTCCAGACAACCACAATAAAACAAATATCACAATAAAGTGAGTTGTAATCTTTTGGCTGGTGGAGGGTCTTGCCTTTGATTTGTAAAAAACACATCTGTGAAGCGCAGTCAAACCAGACATGCCTGTACTAGTTGTAGCCATAGTGGCAGGCAGTATCAGTGGTGGCGACAGCAGTTGGAGTGAACTGGCACGTGATGCTCACTCACCCGCCTGTGCTAGCCGTTGCCCGGAGCACTTCATGTATTTGCAGTTTGTTTTATCATTATTACACTCTGTGAGGTGGGTGCTGCTATAATCTACCTTTTCAAGTGTGGAAACTGAGGCACAGAGAGGTTAAACAGGTGCCCGATGTCACACAGTTCCTGCATGACACAGCTGGGATTTGAACCTATATCGTCCTGCTCTAGACCATGCTCTTAATCACTAAACTTGGCTGCTTCTATAACACCAAGTTCATTGGCCCTGCTTTGAGAAGGGACACTGTTCAGTTTGGCAAGTATGTTTTTTTATCCTCACCTGAGAATATGTTTTTATTGATTTGAGAGAGAGAGAGAGAGAGATCAATGTGAGAGAGAAACACTGGTTGGTTGCCTTCCGTACACACCCAGATGGGGATTCAGACTCACAGCCTTTGATTATATGGGACAACACTCCAACCAAGTGAGCCACCCGGCCAGGGCCCAGCAAGTATTTATTAACCTCCTACTAGGTGGTAGGCCCTGTGCTGGGATGGGAAAACAGACAAGTAAGCCAAGGACGTGGGCACTTGTGGAGCTGGTGGGGCAGACAGAGAGTCCCGGTACAGGAGGGTGAGTGCTGAGTCAGTATGTAGGCATGAGGTCCCAGCGGGACACCTTCGCCTTGCCTGGTGGGTGCCTACCACCCTGTCAGCTGGGAGCAGAGACTTAGGAGAGGCCCCCCACCCCCCGGAGGTGGGAGGTGGGAAGCCTGAAGGCTTGTCCGTTCTCCCTCCACAGCCTGTTCGGGAGCCTGCAGGAGGAGCGGGTCCAGGAGGCTGACAGTGTGTGGCGGCAGCAGCAGGCACACCAGCAGCACAGCTGTACCTTGGACGAATGTTTTCAGTTCTACACCAAGGAGGAACAGGTCCTGCCCTGGGGGTCTGCTCCCCAGCCAGGAGGGAGGCTGGTGCCTTTCCGTGGGTTGGCCCAGTGCCGTGGGGGCCTCATAGTCCTGGTGGCTTCCTTTGCAGCTTGCCCAGGACGATGCGTGGAAGTGCCCCCACTGCAAAGCCCTCCAGCAGGGCATGGTGAAGCTGAGTCTGTGGACCCTGCCCGACATCCTCATCATCCACCTTAAAAGGTTCTGTCAAGTGGGCGAGAGAAGAAACAAGCTCTCCACACTGGTGAAGTTTCCCCTCTGCGATCTCAACATGGCTCCTCACGTAGCCCAGAGGAGTGCTGGTGCCAAGCCCACGCCTGGCCCCTGGCCCTCCTGGAAGCAGCCAGCCTGCCTGCCCACCAGCTACCCACTGGACTTCCTGTACGACCTGTATGCTGTCTGCAACCACCACGGCAGTCTGCAAGGTGGGCATTACACAGGTGAGCTTTACCTCTTGGCTGCTGGCTGCCCTGGCCATGTGTTGTGGATGTGGCCTGGGTCTCAGGATGCCCCGAGAAGAGGCACTCCTGGAATGCCTGGCCCACTCGGGGACGAATGTGAGCTGAGCCCTCGCTCACTGCACACCAGGCATCTGCCACAGAGCATGGGGCCTGGGCCAAGCCTCAGAGTTGAGTTAGGTTGGTGGTTGGGATATAAAGTCAGTGATGGCCTGAAGTCTGACCATATCAAGTACGGGAGGATAATTGTTAGAACCAAGAGTGACGTTTATCCTCAACTGTGAGTCAATGCAAGGACTCTTTCTTACCTGTAGATTTTTTATTTCCAGGCGTGTGGTTAGTTGTTACCCTTCAGAGGATCTTGGGAGAAGTAGGCGAGTGAAGGACAGAAACAAAGAGCTGGGTGACTCGTTCAGTCGTCCTTCGTCACATACCGAAATCAGTTTGAGAACAGTACAGATGATTTCATTTCTTTAAAGTGCCTTAAAATACTAGTTTTTCAGAAAGTGCACAGTTGTAGTGTACTAATGGAAGACACTGGCTGCAGAGAAATCCACGATCATCACTCATTTGTTCTGTGACGAACATTTGTTGAGTGCTTGTTCTGTGCCAGACCCTATGTGGGGCTCCCGTGTTGAACGGGACGGGCGTGAGCCTGGGCCTGCAGGCTGGTTTCAGGCACAGACGGTGAAAGGGGCTTGCCGCTCCAGCACTGCCACCACTTGGCATTATGAAAAGGTGACGGACTGATTAGTTATGTCTGTGATAGCGGCATCCTCTCTGAGGATGTCACCTTTAGGTCAAGAGCTAAAGGATGAGGTGGGACTAGCCATGTGAGCAATGGGAGGAAGACCATTATGGGCAGAGCTACCAGCATGTGCGAAGGCCCTGGGGCAGAGATTTGCTCTGTTTGAGAACTGATGGTGGCCTGTCGTGGCTGAAGTGCAGTGATTCAGCTGTGGGCTGGACGGGGCTGGGTCAGAAGGGGCTGTAAGCCATGGACAAGAGTTTGTGTTTTTCCTAAAAGTTATGGGAAGCCATTAAAAGGTTCCAGGCAGAGAAGTGAAGGTGTAATTCTGATTACAAACTAAGGTAGTAGCTCTGCTCTGTGGAGAATGGATAGGAGAGAGCAAGAGTGGAAGTTGTCATTCCAGTTAGGAGGATGCTTCTGGGGCTCAAGTGGGGCTCGGGCGACGATGGTCAGGGTATTCAAGACAGGTTTTGGAAGTGGAATCAGTAAAACTGGCTTTGGGCTGGGCCTGGGGTGGAAGGGAAAGGGAGAGCAAAGGGGAACTCCCAGGTGCCTGCCTGGCTGTGTGAGCACAGGGATAGCGAACCATGGCCTGTGGGCCACGTTCAGCCCAGCACCCATCTTCGTGTGGCTCATGAAGTAAAAGAAGTTTCTGCATTTTTAAAGTGGTGAAAAGAAGAGCAAGAATATATAGCAGAGGCCACATGTGCCGTATGTGAGCTGCAAAGCCTAAAGTAGTTTCTCTCTGGTCTGTTACGGAAAAAATTGGCTGACTCCAGATTAGTGGGTCTTGGTACCATTCACTAAGATGTGGGGAGAAGAAGAACAATATTTTGTTTTAATTGTTTGGAAGGTATTAAGAATCATATTTATGAGCATTTTTAAAATGTATGACTTCTATTCTTGGGTGGGAAAGAAGTATACCATAATTCCACTGCACATTTTCACTGCATACTGAATTAGATGTGCCTTGTGAAGCTTTTCAGAAGAAATGGGGCAAATGTGGACATCATCATCTGGCTAAATAATTTGGGGTTCTCGTACTGGACAGTTTGCTTACACAAGGGCTACAACATAAGGGTTCAGTTTAAAGTAGTAACACACTTCATCAGAAAGCATCTGCGATCTTCGCAGAGTGGAATGGATTGTTTTTGATTCCACAAAATTCATTTCGAGCCAAAAATGGACCCATATTTCTCATTCCATTACAAACAGGTCCATTTCTGAGCTATGACAGTGGGTATGTCTTCCTGCTTTGGGGGGCTGCAATAATGGGGGTTGGGGTTTGCACCTGCAGCCTATTGCCGGAATTCTCTGGATGGCCAGTGGTACAGTTATGACGACAGCATGGTGGAGTCACTGCTAGAAGACGAAGTCATTACCCGCGGGGCTTACATCCTGTTTTACCAGAAACGGAACAGCATCCCTTCCTGGTCAGCCAGCAGCTCTGTGAGAGGTAGGGCTGCTGCTCGTGACCAGCACAAGGGAGAACTGGGAAGTCACTGTAAGAACTGGGTAGATGCTTCGTTGAACAGTGAGCACCAGAAGAGGTCGGCAAGGACCTGCAAGAGGAAGCTATGGCTGCTGCTATAGAGATGTGGACATGCAGGCTAGCATCCCAGCCGTAAGGCTGTGGAAGAGTCACACTGAGATCTAAGGAAGGGGAAAGTCATTTTGTAAACTAGCCATCCTTATCTGTGGGATGAAAGGAAATTTTTTTTAATTACTCAGATTTTCTATCCACTAATTGTTGGAAAATGGCCAAATAAAGATAAGATGCACCCTAAAAGATCTAAGAATCAACCTTAACGCAAAGTCTGCCTCCCTTTTATGGAGATAGATGTAGAAAGAATGGAAAACATACCATATCTAGAAAACGAGGTGGTAACAGGTACCTTCACGGGGAGCATGTCAGTGCTTATCAGTGTTCCTTTCTGTGCCTGCACACCTGTCCCCACATTTTCGGCATGGTCACTCGGTGACCATGGCGGGTTTGGTGGGGTTTCTCCTCTGGTGGGTTTCAGTGGCGGGTTTCTCCTCTGGCCCTCACCTTCTGTGTGTGCAGGTCTGTAGTGCCAGGGCTCGGGGTGGGAATCTGGTGGCGAGAAGCCCCTCGGGGAGCTCGGAAGGATGGAGTGGGTCCAGCTGTCACTCTCTGTGCTTCCTCTGCAGGTTCCACCAGCTCCTCCGTGTCCGATCACTGGCTCGTGAGGCTCGGGAGCTGCAACAGCAGCCTGAGGGGCAGCCCGTTGTCCTGGAACCCTGCCCCCGGCCCCTCCCAGCCCCAGGTGCCCAACACCCCCACTGTCACAGACAGCCCCTCCAGTCAGAGAAAGGGTATGTTTTATCATGTTGGTTAAATTTGCTGATTTTATTTTCATTTTCCTTAATGACCTTTGCTCCTCGTCTTGATGAAAGTGTTGGCATTTCACGGCCATGAATATTCAGTGTCCATCATTACGAGAGGTTTCTTCATCTCTCAAATGGGGTCTTCCATACCCCAGCCCGTGCCTACCTCCCCTGCCCACTCCAGTGACAGGCGTACACCTTCTGCTCCCTGGAGCTGACTGGCTAATGGAGAAGACAACACAGAAACTAGTGAACAGATACAGTGACACAGTGTGAAGCAGGGACAAGGATGAAGCGGTAAATTGTCATAGAAGAAAACACTGAGGCCTGGGGCGAGGGAGAAAGGATACAGAGGGCCTGTGGGGAAGGCCCTTCCAGGAAGGTGGTAACTTTGGAGCAGAGTGAGTAAGTGAGTCATGGAGAAGTCTGGGAGTGAGCGTGGGGTGTGTTCGGGGGGCGGAAGACACCAGAGCTGTGGCTGGGGCAGAGTGAGTGACGAGGGTGACCCAGGTAACCAGGGGCTGGGCCATGATGTACCTCTGGCCCATGAACTGAGTTTGCATTTTATCCCAAGTACAGTGAGTAGGTCTTGGGGAATTTTGAGTGAGTAAGTAATCGATCTGACATATAATATTAAGGGAGGGAGAAAGAGAAGGAGAGAAAGATCGATGTGTGAGAGATACATCAAATGGCTGCCTCTCACACGCCCCCAACTGGGGACCAGGCCTGCAACTCAGGCATGTGCCCTGACGGGGAATTGAACCAGGAGCTTTCAGTTTGTGGGATGATGCCCCACCCATGGAGCCACACTCGTAGGGTTGATACATATTTTTAAAAGTCTATTCTGCCTGCCATGTGGAGAATGCCTCACAGAGGCGCAAGAGTGGAAGACAGGAGGCTTGTTGGGAGGCTTGTGATTGTCCAGGTGAGGGACAGTAGTGGTGTGGATGAGGCTGTTGGGTGAGATTCTGGATACGCTTCTGGAAGATGGAGCTAAGGGATTTGCTGATGAGAAAGAAAGTGAGTTATCAAGGAGGACTCTGCTTAGTTGGCATCTAAATGACTAGGTGGTTAGGTTAGCAGTGCAGTTTATGAGATGGGAAAGCGTTGGGTAGGAAATGGTCAGTTTTAGAGAGAAATCAAGAAATTTGTGTCCTCGTTGGGTAGCTCAGTTGGTTAGAGCATCATCCGATAAGCCTAGGTTGCAGGTTGGATCCCCATCAGGGTATGTGTGGGAAGCGGCCAATCAGTGTTTCTCTCACATTGATGTTTTCCTCTCTCTGTCTCTCTCTTTCTCCATTTCTCTCTCTCTAAAATCAATTTTAAAAAATTATGTCCTTAGTTGAGTATTTTAAAAAATAACCTCTAACCATGAACACAAACATTTTAAAAAATCGTGGCCTGATAATTTTGAGACTCCTGGAAGACATTCACATGCAGATGATGACTAAGGATTGGAGATGAACATCCGAGTCATCAGCACATGGAAGGAACTTCAAGCCGTGGGGCTGGCCAAGCTCCCCTGGGACACGGTTAAGGTAGAAAAGAGTAAAGACCTTCCACAGACCCTGGAACTCTCCGTCACCTAGGGGTTGGGCAGAGGCAGAGAGGTCAGCCAAGAAGTAGAAAGAACGGCCAGTGTGATAGAAAGAAACCTGGGTGAATATAAGTCACAGATACAGAAAAGACAAAAAAATCTTTCAGGGAGGAAGTGGCCCGCTGTGTCATGTACTGTTGAGAGGCTAAGATGAGGGTGGGTAAGTGATCATTGGGCTGGAAGGTCACCAGGGACTTGCCAGGCACGTCTGTCGTGGGTTGGAGAGCAGCTGTAATAATAGGTGAAGAAGACACTGGGCTGAAGGAGTGACTGTGGGCACACACTCGCCGAGGACTGACTGCAGGCACGGGAGCTCAGGAATGTGGCCTTATGGCAGTTCGTGTTTTTCTACCAAATAGGAAATAATAGATCGTTTTAACACTCAGATCACCCAGACTAGAGAGGGAATAGGATGACAGTGCAGGAGAACGAGGCGCAGCCGCAGAAACAGAGTCCCTCAGTAGGAATGGTATGATCTGTCTGTCTTTATCCTTCAGTCAGAAAATGGCAACATGTCATGATTACTTTTAGTTTCCATGTTTCCTATTAGTACCTGATTTAGTTTTTTAAATAAAAAATTTTAATTGAACTATTATATATACTGATCAGTTGTACTGATCAGTATACTGTTGTACTGATCACAAGTGTATATCTGATTAATTACCATGAAACAAGCATACCCATGAAACCATCACCCAGATTAAGGAATAGAAAGTTCCAGGTCCTCCCTACCCCCTTATGTCTCTCAAAATCATTACCATTTCCTCCTTCCCAGAGGGAAGTTTTAGTCTCACTTCTAACACCTGTTTTGGAACTTTGTGTACATGGAGTCATATACTATGCATTCTTTTTCATTTGGCTTCTTTTGCTCCGCATTATATTTATGAGATTCATATATGTTGTGTATAGCAATGCTACTTTCATTTTATTCCATTGTCCAAAAAAAAAAAAACCAACCCTCAGAGACATACAGTTTCCTGCGCAAAAGTTTAACTGTGTATGAGAGAGAGTGAGAGATGTTGTCAGCTGCCGACTACAGCCAATTTTAAAGTGAAAGCAGAAGCGGGGATTTGGAAAAGAAGGCCTGGTGCGTGGAGCGAGGCGCGTGGAGCGAGGAGAGCCTCCTTGTCTCTGGGGTTCATGGGCCAGCCGGCCTCGATTGCAGGCTGGCCTGGTCTCACCTGGAGAAGTTCAGAAACCTGATCATCAGGAGCAGCACCTTGGGCCATGGGAGATTTATGGATTCTTGAGTTATTTGTGGGTTTTCCCAAAATCTGTGCAAGTTTTGCTGTGGAGCACACATGGTGGGCAGCCTCTGACCAGACACCTGTCGGCGTCCTTGCATGGTGGCTGCCACTCCCCCACCCAGACCTCCCTTGTTGCCGGCGGCAGCCCCTGTGTCTGTTTGCCCTGTTGTGGTCAGACACGGGGGTTGCTTCCAGTCGCGCTGTCACCAGCAGTGCTGCTGCGAACATTTTTGTTCGTGTCATTTTTAGTTTCTGTGTCCCTGTTTCTGTGAAGTATATACCTGGGAGTGGAACTGCTGGGATGCAGTGGATGTGTTTTTTCATTAGCTGCTTATTTCTTTACACTTTGTGTTGCCATTTCATCCGAGTGGCCCATGCAGTTCTGGCGTGCCCCGGCTCTTGTCCCGTATCTGTGAGTGAATAAAGAGGATGGTAGAATCTTAAAAAAGCTGCACACGGTTTTAGGTTATCATTGACCCCAACCCTCTGGTCTGGAACAGCTTATGTATCACATTTGGTTAATAATTCCTCAGTGTCTGGCATTTGGGCCCCCAGCATCTCACTCTCAGACGGAATCTGATCAGCACCTCTACATGCATTTCGCATTTGTCCAGCTTCCTCAGCACACGTTTCCGTGTGAGCACGCTGTTTCATGCATTGTGTTCTGACTCACCTGCTGGCCATTTCTCTTCCCCTCACGTTTGCGAGACTGCACATTTAGAGTAGTGTCTTTAGAACAAAAAAGGCCTTCTTTCCCCAGCTTCTCTGCCCCCTGGCGGCATGAGCCTCTGCCAAGCTCGTCAGGTCATCCCAGTCCTGTCCAGTGGCACACGACCTCAGGCCGTTTCTCGGTTCTCCCAAGGAAAAATATGTTTGACGCCCCTCAAGGAGCCAACTTCAAAAGGTGGCCCGACTCTTCAACCTGGTACCCAGAGTGGGTGGGACGTGGCTCCAGAGAACTCCCCAGAGAGAGGGGCCAGGGTGGGAGAGGTGGTGTTGAGGAACATTGCCCTCCCGACCCTTGCAGGCATTCCATTGATCTCATCTAGCCGCCGGACTCTCCAGGAGAGGCGAACCGAACAGCCCTTGTACAGAGCACAGCGCTGAGTCCTGGAAGTACCCGCTCACAAGCTCCCACCCAGAAAGTGGCAGGGCTGCAAACAGTCACCGCTACCTCTGGCTGCTGGAGTCTGGTCTGTGCACTTAGACACAAATTCCAAATTTGAGTTGATTCCCTTCATACGCTGCTTCCAAAGGGAGCTTTCCCTCCTGGGGTTAGAAATAAAATAACAGTAGATTTTGAAATCTGTTTCAGAAGCTCTGAGGTGGTTGACAGCCTCTTTTAGTTTTTTCATACTAAATCTGGGCTAAATTAAAATCTAGGCTACAGGTGTTCAGCAGTGGTTGGCCCAACTGCCTCTCCCCATGGCTGTGGGAGGAGGTTTTCACTGTCAAAGGCAGGGATGCTGAATGTCTGCCATGCCCAGGGACGATGTTGTTCGGCACAGAATTGTCCCTCCCAAATGCCATCAGTCCTCTGGAGAAACCCTGAAAGCTCGGGAAATCCATCCTTCCAGGTGCCCTGGTTATGGGAGGTTGTAATAATGAAGGCATTTTATTTCACTTAGCATAATGCTCTCTAGATCCATCCATACTATTGTAAAGGGTAAAACTTCCTTCTTTTTGGTGGCTGAGTAGTATTCCATTGTGTAAATGGCCTGTAGTTGTTTTATCCACTCGTCTACTGATGGACACTTGGTCTGCCTCCGTATCTTGGTGATTATAAACAACGCTGCAATGAACACAGGGGTGCTTATGTTCTTTTGAATTAGTGTTTTGGGTTCCTTTGGATATATTCCCAGAAGTGGGATTGCTGGGTCTAAAGTCAGACCCATTTTTAATTTTTTGAGGAAATTCCATACTGTTTTCCACAGTGGCTGCACAGTCTGCATCCCTGCCCACAGTGCAAAAGGGCTCCCCTTTGTCCACATCCTCACCAGCACTTGTTTGTTGATTTATTTTTTATTTTTCTTTTTACCTTATCTGGGAAGCACTTTATCTCCCTTTCCATTCTTTTTTTAAATATATTTTATTGATTATGCTATTACAGTTGTCCCATCCCCCACCTTATTCCCCTCCACCCT